TCATCCTCATCAAAACGCAGCCATTCATCACGATCTGTCAGCCATTGAAAAATCGCATAATATTTGCCACTGCCACAAAAATTTATTTACGCGGCCAAACATCAATCCGAACTTATAACTCAACATCATAGAAATCAACAACAACTCCATCACAGACAATATTATTGACAATTTCTAGAAGAACTCTTAGACAACGCTAGCTCAGATAAGATTACAATTCAAATCGAAAATCAAGAATGATTCATTACGGTACGATGCAACATTTTATTTAATAAGCATGTAATACTTCAGGTATAGATTTCTACACACTCTAAAGTAGGCCTCATCACGTATACCTCCTTTTCTGACTTTAATCCTGGACACTACACACTCAAGCAATGAACCTCCAACCGTGCAGGTAGTTAACTACACTAACTTATAGCACGCCGAAAATACACCACCATCTCACAGCTAGCTTCAGAGCGAGGTATTGGTACTGAAGTTAGAACAGCCCTTTACCAAGTAAAGAAACACCATAAGGACCAGACAAGCCTGCTTGAGGAGATGCGGCGGTGAATCTTAAAACTAATTCTTGCCAACCAAGCTCTGGTAGCCGAATCCAGTCCCTCTCTTCGTAGACAGCAGCATGCTTGCTGATGCTCGTTAAGGCGATATTCGGACTCTTTCACAACTTGAATTGGACACACACAGATCGTTCCAAGCTATGTACAAAAATTAAAATTTGCTTAATTAAAAGCTTAATAGTTGTTAATTAAAAGCGTAATTAAGTAGTGTTCAATATTCATTAGTGTTCTAATTCAAAGCCATGTTGTATTCCAATACAGCTCACACAGCGAACGGAATTCGAACACGTGGATGACAACATTACGTATCAGTAGAATTTGAAGCGCGGACGGAATACGCCTCAGCATGTGCCTAATATTGCCACACACAGTGACGGAATATAGGGACACAGTGACGTCGCATTCCGACACTGTGTGTGACTAAATTTGGCATTTTGTGAGACTTGTTCCGGCCGTGCTTCAAACTCTACTAATTTGTAATGCCAACAGAGGCAACACTCTTGTGTTCGAATTCCGATTGCTGTGTGAGCTGTATTGGAATATGACACAGCTTGGAATTAGAACACTATTGAATATTGAACACTACTTAATTAGGTGGTATTACTTTAGATTAAGTGCATCCAAAAAAAAGGGTGTTTTTTTTAATTATATGTTTTTGGGGTGTAAATTAAGAATCTGAAATCCGTTTTTGGTAGTCAGCATTGGAAATTTTTAATGAAATCTGTTCCTAACCTAGATTTTGCCAAGGCATTTGACAAATTGACAGTGTCCCACATGAGCGGCTGTTGCATAAATTGAAGTCTTTGGGTTTGAGAGTAATGTACTCAAATGGATCAGAGATATTCTAGTAGGGAGGTGACAATGTGTCAGTATTAATGGGTCCGTATCAGACTGGGCTTCAGTGCGCAGCAGTTTGCCACAAGGAAGCGTTCTCGGGCCTATTCTATTCGTTGCGTTTATAAACGATCTGCCAGAAGCTGTGTCTAGCGTTTGCTCAATGTATGCTGATGACACAAAAATTTATAATACAGTGAAGAATATGTCGCAAAAAGTACAGTTGCAAGGTGATCTTGACAGGCTGGTCGACTGGGCTGATAAGTGGCAGCTGCTTTTTAATGCTGACAAATGTAAAGTTATCCACCTTGGCTAGAATAATGAACAGCAAGATTACAATTTACAGTATTCTAAATCTGGGTTTATTTTGTAGTGTTCTTTTTTGTATAATTTTCCAATGAGATGTCAGTATGAGAAGACACGGTTGCAACGACAGAGTGATGATGTCGAAGTCGACAACGGAAAAGGATTTAGGAGTTAATATCGACAATGAGTTGAAATTTTCTAAGCATATTGAAGGTCAAGTTAATAAAGCCAATAAACTATACAAGTATACTCATGGCTTATACAAGGTCCCAGAAGGATTACTAGAATTTGAAACAAGAACCAACACCAGGGGCCATGGCTATAAACTAAAAAAAACAGTGTTGAAATACATCCATGCAACAACATTTCTTCTCGCTTCGAGTCACCAACATGTGGAACAGCCTCCCTGATAGCATCGTTGACGCTCCGAGTATGAACATCTTCAAAAGCAGACTAGACAGAGCTATGCAGGAGCATATGTTCAGTCTTAAAATGCCTAGCAAATTACAGACCAAGCAATAAGTCCAGCAGCTATCTAAATTAATCGTCAGCTATGGAAAGATCAGGTTCCGAAGGCCGAATCCCTTGTGAATCAAGTCGCGAAAAGTTCACGAATTGGCAACAGGCCATGGGCCTATTTCTTCAATGCCAACACTTCTATTCTATTCTAACTGGACCTAACCTGCAAGGTTTTCGTTTATCGGCTAGGTTTTTTCTATGTTTGGAGTCCGTCTGGCGGCTGGAAAAACCTAGCCAATAGGTTTTTTCTATGTTTGGAATCCCTCCGGCAGCCGGAAAAACCTAGCCAATCAACGAGAACCTTGCAGGTTTGGTCCAGTTAGGAACAGGTTCCATTAAAAATTTCCAATGCTGACTGCCAAAAACGGATTTCAGATTCTTAATCTACACCCCCAAAAACATATAATTGAAAAAAAAACTTTTTTTGGATTCACTTGATCTAAAGTATTACCAATTAGGCTTTTAATTAAGAGCTATTAAGCTTTTAATTTTTTTAATTAAGAAAGTTTTAATTTTTGCACACAGCTTGGAACGAGCTGTGTGTGTCTAATTCCAAGCTGTTTTGGAATTAGTTTTTATGTGTCTAAAATTGTCTCTTAACTTGATCATCTATTAATTTTTTTTACCACTTGAAATCAGCAAATACAAGTAGGTATATTTAAAGGATTCCTAATATATTCACAGACGTATTTAAAAGTCTCAAACCATAATATTCTTTCTACACAAACAGTTTATCACCATTTGGTAGAGCAAGGTCAACTATCAACTTTGACACATTTTTCAATGTTCTCAATGGGTGATGTGCACTGTCTCTCTTTGGATCTCAACATTTTCCCGCCAGACGGCTTGTGTTTTGGCAATAATATGGCGCGCAAAAGTATGACGTCGCTATTTTAACCATCAACGAATGCATTGAACTAAGAAAAAGCTTAATATAAAGGAAAAAAGTCGAGAAGTGTCGGAATTACCCGCGATGTCAGAATATACCGCGTTTACCCTATGCACACAAGTCAGTGAAGTCACCAGACACTAGGTGCAGGTTAGCAGGTATGTTTAGAATTGACTATTAACTATATGTCAATATCATTAACAACATCACAATGAGTCAATGATCACATCAGGAGGACAAGCAAAATGAATATCTTTTTACTGGGTTTCACCTTAAAATGACCTCAGGTAAGGTAAACGCACTATATTCCGACATCGTGGGTAATTTTGAAACTTCTTAACTTTTTCCTTTATAAGTTTATATTAAGCTTTGTCTTAGTTCCACGCATTTGTTGATGGTTGTAATAGTGATGTCATACTATTGCCAAAATACTAGGTCTGGGCCGTCTGGCAGGAAAATGTTAAGATCCAAAGAGAGACAGTGCATGTCACCCAGTGAGAACATCGAAAAATGTGTCAAAGTTGATAGCTGACCTTGCTCTACCAAATAGTGATGAACTGTTTGTGTAGAAAGAATATTATGGTTTGAGACTTTTAAATAGGTCTGTGAATATATTAGGAATCCTTCAAGTATACTTGTATTTGCTGATTTTAAATGGTAAATAAATTAATAGATGATTAAGTTATGAGGCGGTTTTAGGCACATAAAAACTAATTCCGACACAGCTTGGAATTGGACACACACAGCTCGTTCTGAGCTGTGTTCAAAAATTAAAATTTTCTTAATTAAAAGCTTAATAGCTGTTAATTAAAAGCTTAATAAAAAAATTAAAATTTTTCAATTATCGGAAAAATCGGAAGTCCAATACAGGGCGTTGGAATTACAAATTAGTAAGAGTTTGAAGCGCTGCCAGAATTAGTCGCACAACATGCCAAATTTAGTCACACACAGCATCGGAATTCAGGGATTATGTAGGTTTGAATTCTAAAGGCTTTTAAATAAATATGGCAACAGTTTGTGACGTTTCATCATTGCTGGTGCATAGTATGGTGTTTTGAGTGACATAAAGTAAACAGAACTCAAGTTGCACATACGGTGATTTTTTTATGGCCATTCATTTTTTGCTACGTCCTTAATGTGTCTGAATATACCGCGTTTACCCTACAGGTTTGTACAGAAAACATTTTCCTGGCTATATCAGGTTTCATAGGACATAAAGTGGCTGTAGTTGTTAGAATTTCAACCACTTTTGATGGATGAAAAAAACAACCAATTTTTAGCCTTTTTGACAAAAGTAACCTGACCAAATATTTAATAAATATTGTTGAACAACTCTTGATGAATAAATAACTTTTTAACAAATACATCGACTGCGAGTCCGCAACCAATATCACACAAATTTTTTTTCAGATGGCTGCGCCTGCTGCCACTGTTCTTACAGATGGCATAAGTTTATATAATCTATCCCAATAAAAACTTATGGGCTATAATCAAACAAAGACTCCTGAAAGAAGACTGTTCAAAGACTAATCATAACACCAAATATTTTCAGGATTTTGCTAATTATCTTTTCACCAATATGATGTCTGCAAATGTTTGCAAATTTTGTAAACAATTCCATACATGCAAGACTAGTAATTTATTAAGTTTATTAGCAATTCATGGTGAGTAAAGCTAGAGTATAGACCTGTATTTTGCATGTTTCAATTTAAGTTTAACTTATCTAGTAAAAAAATGGCATCATTTTGAAAAATAAAAGTGGTCAAAGTTACCCCATTTACGGTATGCCCTAGATGACATTTCTGAATTGTAATTGTGGTAGATATTATAGTTTTATAAATTTTTAATTGGAAATTCTTCATAACTAATCCTAATACCAAATATTTCCAGGATTTTGCTAATTATCTTTTCACCAATATGATGTTTGCAAATGTTTGCAAATTTTGTAAACAATTCCATACATGCAAGACTAGTCATTTATTAAGTTTATCAACCCTAAAAATATTTCCAAAACACATCTATATGAAAGCATACTGTGCTTCTCATGGGACAGCCATACAAGTAAATCTTCCAGTGGTCTCTCAAAATGTTCCTTATCATCCAATACCTATTCAGCAAAATATTTGGCAGTCTCTAAGCACATATTTCAAGGGAAGCAGACATCTACACACATCTTCCATGCACGAGATGAAGTTCAGGTGATATTTTTGCCTTAATATATCTACCTCAATTTTTTATTATAATAAATTTACTGATTATTTTTTAGATGCAAAATGAACAATAGCTTGGTATTCCATAATGACTGCAATTGTTTTGTTATTTATTAATGTTGCATTACTACTGATGTTGAAATTCATTTACTATGCCTTATTACTTTATTTTCATTGTTACATAACTCATTAGCAAGCAATATATTTTTTGTTGAAATATTGTTAAAAATCTCTCGCCTCTAATTCTGCAGAAAGGGTCCATCCATGTCAAACCCTGATGAAGAAAAGCGTCTCACTCGTCAGGGTTACTTCAAAGCTGATGTACGCAACAAGGATAGCTTCCTAATTGCAATTGATGTCTACAAAGAACAAGAAAAGCTTCTTAGAGGTCATGTGGAATTCATTCAAGCTGCTCTTAAAAGCATGGAAGAGTTTGGTGTCCACAAAGATCTTGAGGTGAAGATTGATTCAGTTTATTTTACAGTTTATTATTTCATCTCCATTTGATATTCCAGATGTGTTTGAAATTATAAAATTATCTGACATGAAATTATTTTATCAGATGGGTTTCAAACTACAGCAAACTATTGTCATAATGTTCTCAATTAACTAGCACTTCAATCTTATTAATTTTTTTCTAACCTAATTTTTGCCAGGTTTACAAGAAGCTGATGGATGTCTTTCCTAAAGTGAAGATGATCCCTCAGAATATATGGCAGGCTGAGTTTGATCATTACCCTATCCAGCAAGACTGTGCCGTTGATTTGTTGCATCGAATGGAAACTTTTGGTAAATTTTATAAATTCTTCAATGATAATTAAATAACTTTTTATGTAAATTTGTGACTATGTTTTTCATGGTTGAAGGTGATACTTTGTTATTTTCATTGTATATAATTATGAAAATATTGAACATCTTTATGTTTAACTTTTTTTTTTGAGGATTAACTTCAAATGGTAGGTACTGGCACATTGCTTACAAGTTAAACTCTTCTCATCTGCAATTGATATCAACAGGTGTCATTCCTGATGCTGAAATGGAAGATATCATCCTCATGGTGTTTGGCAGCAATTCTCACCCAATGAAAAAATGCCGTCGCATGAATTACTGGATGCACAAGTTTGCCAATGCTTCCCCATGGCCTTTGCCAAAGCCTGTTCCTTCAGAAGTATTGGAACTTGCAAAGCTGGCAGTGGCGAGAATGTGCTCTGTTGACCAGGCTTCCGAGATAACCGTGTTTGACACCGCAGAAGTTAAGGATGCTATTGACCACACTTGGATAGTGAGCGGTCAGAGCATCCATCAGAGAGAACTGGTCAACAAGCAGCCTGAAAATGTTCCTCTGAAAGTTGAAGGACCATGGAAAATTTTCTTGAGGGAGCAATCAATTGATTATTTTGTTCTTAAGGCCGACCCTTTACCAAGTCCGCAAGTAGAACAAATGGATAAAGATGGTGTGTGCATAATTCTAGATTTGCAAGACTGAAATTACTGTTTATTTGGTTGTTTTATTTTAAGACTAAACTTCATTTTTTATTCTATGTCATACCGAAAATTTGATTATTTACAGTACTTTGAGCTATTGCTATACCTCAATAATGCCCTATATAAGTGCATTTATTTTCTTGTCACGTTTCTACCATATTTTGAATTTTTTATTAATACTGTCTTGAATTCCAGACGTATCTCTTATTGGCCTTCTGCTGAACCCCGATTGCTCTCTGAAGGCAGACACAGCAATCACCATCCGTCCTTCTGTTCACGAACAGAAAGACGGTACCATTCTGGCCATCTGCATCACTGGTTAGTTGTGTCTCGTTTTCGTTTATTGGAAAAAATTAAATGTCTAATTCTCTAATGTCAGTATGAAGCATTAATCAGTCTGACACTGCTCTCTAGATGTACAAAATGATAATAGTTTTTATTTCTTCTCTAATTCTCTAACACCTTGTTCAAAGTAACAAGTTGCATTAATGTATTTGACAAAGTTTCATAATTTTTTATGGCTGGTGCTCTTAAATGTGAAGCTCGTTCTAAACTATATGATTTCTTCTACAATGCGCAATCTTGTACACCAGTAATGAAATTATACTGCCATCATTACAAAGTTTATTCATTTCGAAAATGTTCAATCGTCTGAAAACTAAGCAAATTTTTCTCAATTTATGTATTCAATTTAATACCTCGTGTAAGAATATAAGCGGCAATTCTATTGGTGTTTTTGTTTGCAGGCACTTCAAGTCGAGACTCGTTGTTGTCGTGGATTCGTCTGCTCAGTCTAAGCAACCCTCGCCTTGAAGAAGGCTTACCTGTCATCTTTTTACAAGCATCGCCCACAGCTAGTGATGAAATCGTGCCCGCAGATCATTCCTCCACTTCAGACGAGAAAAAACTAGAAGCAGGGGATATGCCCACGACTGACGGGCAGGATGCCAGTAGTGGCAAAAATGAAGACTCAAATAAATATAAATAACCTCTCAATCTTGATGGTGGCGTTGCGTCAACGAAAAAATTGTGATAATAACAAAATTTCATAATAATACATACACAATTTGATATAATAATAAAGATTTACTGGAAGAACGAATCGTAAGTTGGAACTAAATTTTGCTGGTAACAAATAGTCCTGGGTTGTAAAACTCGTTTATCGAGTATAAAGGGGAAAAACAAAACTGGGAGCAGAAATTTTTCCAAAATGAGCAACACTGGAAGCAACGACGTGCTAAATCTTTTTTATTAAAATGTTCATTATCGAAATTTTTGCTCTGCTAAATTACAGAATGTTGCTGTTTTTAATTAAGGAACATTGAATTGTTGAAAAATTACTTGGTAGAATAGATCTATGTCTTTGGCTAAAAACAATATATTCTGAGCAATCTTTGTAAATGTAAATACAAAGATCGCGTTACTAATTAGTAAGCTATGAATGTCAATGCGGCTTCCGCTGGTCTTAGACCTGACTGGAATAATCCGGGACGCACAAATATTTAAATTACTCGCTAGAACGAAATTCAGTGCCATAGATACTGGAATGTCAGCAGAATTTAGGATCGCGTCAGCATTAAATCCAGTGATCAAAGTAACCTCTATCATTTTCGTTACGAATATAGTAATTTTTCTATTATTAGTTCCTTTAGTACATCTCTTAGTTGTTATGCCTAATATTTATTTGTTATTGGAGTTGTATATAATGGTAACAAATATGTGGAAATCAATGTTTTGTGCGTCATTTAATTGACAACAGTTGAACGGCATGATTACCTTGCCCGTGAAATTTATTGCATTGATGGAAACGGTAATGATGAAACACTGTGGATGTACAGAATTTACTATGGTTGAAATATTGTTACGCTTTACCATGATCATCTGTCAGCTTCATGCTGATCACTTCAAGTTTCATGAATGAAATGCAAAGAAATCCATTTTCCAAATTAATCACGTTTCCTCACTTATCGGTTTAGGATTGGTTATATCATGCTTCTACAACGTGAACAGAGGACGATGGCTCCTCATTTGCCTATTGATGGCGATTTTTAGTAACGTATTGCACAGACAAAATGTTAGACGCTACGCTGCTACTCGTACGACTTACTGGGTGAACATTTAGTAATTTTCACTGATGCCTTAATATTCTTTTTTCAACGTGGAGTTCATTGCAACGCCAAAGTAAAAGGAAAATAAAAAAGTTGGAGCGGAAGACTAATTTTATTAGGAAAATATACCTTGTGTAAAGAGAAAAATGATGACTACTTCTTACAGAGAGGTACGTAGTATCACAGCCACAAAACTGCACCACAATATAGATGGGGGGTACCTGATCGGTATAGGAAATGCATGCATCCATTGCGCATACTACCTCTATAGGCCAGTAGTTTATAAATGCTTTCTTGTTACTTCCGTTCATTTCAGAACAAATTGTAAATGGAGAAGATCCTTGAAGCCACAACAGCTATGGTGCTTGCTTTGCCTAAGAGTAGTCACTTCTGTTTTATACGGAAAAACTCCGTTCAAAAAGCATCATTGTTATTCACGTACGGCAAGATTTGAAAGTCCCACAACTTGGAGGTTTCATGTAGTCAATTTATATTAATAAATATACATTATGACATAACGCTTCAGGTAAACTAAACGATTCTCGCATCGATTAGAAATGAATATACAGATTATTATTGGCCATCGTAAGGGATACAAACCAATAGATACTTGCGTCAAGTGAAGCTAAGAGCTTGCGTCATCCATGTATTGGCACAAATCAAAGTAACCAAGTATTGAAGGAAGCGATGCAGTCTTTGGCTTGTTTTGTAGTGTCGTGCGCAGTGCTTGCTCAGGTAATTTTCGGCGGTTCCCGTGATTAATAATAGAAATAATAGTGTTCAGCAACAACAAAAATTTGTAAATTAACCTCAAGACTTGCGATGCCCGATTGATGCCGGTAATTTATAAGGCAACGGTACATCACTGAAGAAGATGGTGCCGGGCTGTAACACGCTTCTTGTGGCCCTCTTCTCGGGTGCTTCGCCATTCATGGCCGAGTCCTCAGACAACGCAGTGGTTGCGGTGGTCTGATTTGAGACGTTACTAGCACGCGTTGATGTGGTGGTGACGAGAACACTGGTGAAGTCTGCTTGAGATGCACCGATGACTTCGCCTGGCTTCGTACAGGATGAACTAGGTTGTAGACTCTAAGAATGGGGCAAATTTGTCATCAGTAATAGTATGGATAAATTAAAAAGAAATTATATACGTCAAAAACTTAAACCTACAAGATACAAATGGCATAATCTATCTTGATTCTGGACAACTCATTATTTATTCATTCCTTTATGAAATACATTTCTGTTATAAGTCACACCACAAATTCAATCGTTTTAAAATATAAATCCAATAGTTGGAGCTCACCTCTCTGGGTTGTGTTTGTTGCTGCCGCAACGTGTTTCGTTGTAGCTGCAGCCGTGGTGCGTGTTGCATCTGGTGCGGCGCTGTTGACGGCTGTTTGATCTGTTGCGCTAGGGGCGCCTGTTGCACACGAACTTGCAGCAAGGTTGGAGATTGTTGACTTAGTAATTGAACTTTGCCTTTGGGATCCGCTGGAATCGATATAAAGTTCTGATGTTGCATTCCTGACTGCTGCAAGTTTAGCTGTGGCTGCTGTCTGAGTGTCACTTGGGGTTTTGGCAGTTGTCGATGAAACGAAACTTGTTGCGGCGTTCGTTGCAACGTAGCCTGTGCCGGAGATGGGTGCAAGGAAACTTGCTGCGGTGGTTGTTGCAATACAACTTGTTGAGGCTGTAGCTGCAATTGCTGAAAAACAACTTTTTGTGGTTGTTGCTGTAATGATGCTTGCTGCGGTTGTTGCTGGTGTGATACTTGTGGTCGCTGCATCTTAGTGCGATTGTGTTGTAGCAGCTGAGTTTGCGCCAGTGTGGTTGAATAGACAACCCGGGAAGCAGGACGCGAAGCAATCTCCTGGATACCGACGTCTGTCAGCACCGTTGCAGATTCAGTAGTTTTGTGGAGTCCGTCTTTGTTTGCCGGACTTGTAACGTTCGGAGCCAAAATGATCATTTGCCCGCCATGACCAATTGTGTTGATGCCACTGCCTGGAGTGTTGGTGAACATCACAACATTAGGTTGATTCAGTGGTAAGTGGACGGTGCGTGGACTGGTGAATGAAACATTTTTATTCATGTTAGCTTGAACGGTTTTCGTCTCGCTGAATTTCAAACTTTTTGCACTACAGACGGACGTAGCCAGCAGATGCTGCGCCTTTGACGTTGATGTGCTCGAGGCCCTAGAGCTGATGCTCGTTTGCGGTGATATTTGTGGCCTTGCTGTATTCTTCACAATCGGAGGCACCAAGATCATTGGTCTCGTCTGCGTTATTAAGGGAGGACGAGAGCTCATCTTCGTTGATACGGGGCCTCCAGCAATGAAAGTTGTACTCGAAGCCGTGGGCAGTTTGTTGATGCTATCTACAATCACACTTTGAGGCCCCCGAGAAGTAGTTTCCAGGGACATTCTCGGTGTACATGTTGAATTGAGATGGTCATTCATATTCGTCATCATAGATGTTGGTTGTGGCGAGTTCATCTCAGGACATTTCTGTGAATCTTCAGAATTTTTTCTTGTCACGAGAGGCGCAAGATTCCGAGGTAGGACAACTGCTGTGCCATTTAAGTTAGCTTTCTCAAAATTCCCGTCGCTGATCAAAACTAAGTTGCCAAAATGATCGACTTCGATTCTACCAATGATTACAGGCGCGCTGGCTGATGCTACACTTGAAGAAGAGTTTGATGATGGAGACAACGTTTGTTCTGAAGTTTCGCTACCCATCTGAGAACTAGATTGCACACTCGAAGGAACAAACGACGGAGAAAATATATGTTCACTTCCTTGAGAATTACCAATTACTTTAGGTGAGAAATTTACTACGTGTGACGGAGTGATGTTGGTGTTAGAATTATTCATTAAGAGGCCAACATTTTCAGTTGGTTTCACAGTGAAGCGGTCAACTGCCTCCACTGCAGACTTCCTCTCGAACAATTCGGCCATCTCCTGCTTCACTGGTACTGGTATTTGTTTACCACGAGTTCTATTAGATCGTTTCTGTACATTATTCACTTTAGACTTTCCCGCTCCATGCCCAGCAACGGTCAACTTCATTGCTTGTTTATGAGATGGAAGCTTAGGACGTTCACCAATTATGCTTTTAAATTTATGATCGTTTCTTTGCATCGGTTTCGTAGATGATGTTGCGTCATCCATGCTGTTTATCCTTTTGAACTCCACGTCGTCCACGACCATCGGCGGAGCACCATCGCCCCAGAAGATCGAGCCATCGAATTTCCCATTATCTACGGGATTTGCGACATTTATCGTGAAATTAGGGTTGCTTGTCAACGTAAGCGACGTCTGAGAATTAGCTGTTGATGTTGAGACGTCTTTCGTGTCTGCAGAAGGTGTCGTTCCGGCAGCTGCTGCTCCATTGTTCTTTTCAAGTTTCTTGACCACAGTTAATGAGAAACCTTCTTGGTTTGGAGGAGGGTCGGGAGGGAGAATAATGCCGTGTTGGTTCGCCAAGTGGGATCGGTACATGTCATGTTTCACAGTTTTGAACTTGCATTCATTGCATGCAAACAACAGCCCCAGGGAAACAGCTGTTGAGAAGAGAAAAATTAAAGTCCTAGTAAATAGTTTATCAATCTAAATAGCAACTGTGTGTGCAAGAAATTTTCTTCCGGGGAAGCAAACAACATACATAGCTGAACGACAGGCAGTTCTCAGAACTATAGGCTGTACATTAACTCTGAACAATTAAGTAAATTTACCCGTTTTTTTTTCTTGTACATCGAAAATGCAAAAATAAATCGGTGTTGATAGTAACAAAGTAGCATTGCAGTTTCCATCAGGCTCTTTGACTAGCCTAACAACCCTGTAGTGACATTCCCTTCATTGCAATCCACTAACCTTCATTGAAGTGTTTCTCTGATAGGTGGACTTTATACGAGGTGCTCTGTATGCTGGAATAAGAGCACAAAGTACACTTGTATCGCTTGTCTTTGCTGTGCTGCATCTTGTGGCGACGCAGGGAGTTGTGGTCGGAGGTGCGGTAGTCGCAGTGGTCGCAGGCAAACGGCTTCTCCCCTGACCACCAGAACAATACGTAAATTATGTCTTTAATTGAAGAATTGCATAACATTTCATAAATAGCTTCCTTGATCATTATTCTCTATATTACATCATTTAATACAATTTTGCATTTATTTAAATCTGTTTTAATGAGGTGATGCACAGTAAATTTCCTTTCAAACTCCTTTATTATCGTGACACGATTTTTTCCTCACCCTTACCCATAGTGTGCAGTTTGTTAGGATGTGATCCTATTACTAAAGATAGTTGTGTTACGACTACAATCTAATTTTTCACTGAAGTATAGTTCACACTTGCTATTTATTGCGCGTTACAATTACCTATTCATTTACAACTAACGTTGAGCTTGCCAAAGTTATATATTATTGTAAGTCCACATCTCATCTGTGTGCGTTCTCATTAACTGAGCTTGCCAAACAAATATTATTATTTAATCTGCCACATCTCACCTGTATGCGTCCTCATGTGAAGGACTAGAGTTGTCTTTGAGCCGAACGCCTTGCCGCAGTGGCTGCACAGATGCCTGCGCACTTTGTTGTGCAGCACGTCAATGTGGCCTTGCAGCATCCGCTTCTCCACGAAGTTCTTGTTGCAAATTTCGCAAGTAAACTTTTCCTGGGCTTCCAGTGGTTTGGAGTGGCTGTTGGTCTGTGGGAGATAAAAAGTAGTTTATACTTTAGCTTCGGAAAATAATGTATTTTTGTTACTAACTTGGTCTCAGCTTTTGCGTGATACCTATGACATAATTTTCGTGCATATGACAAAACCTTATTGTGTTTAATCGGAAAAACTTACATTGTAAACACATTACAACAACATCCACAATTTAGTAAACATCTGGTTATAGTACCGATATGAAAATGAAGATGCTTTACTAATACTTAAAGTTTGCTTAGAGTACATAACAATTGAAGCCTTTAAAACTCATATATGAAAACTTGCATTAGTGTATAACAATGAAATCGAGTCATACTCACTTTATGAGACTTCAAGTGTTTGTAAGTCTTGAAGACTTTACCGCACGACTCGCACAGGAAAGGTCGCATGTTGGTGTGGCTCGGCATGTGGCTCTTCATCAGACGAGATGCGCTACAAAAAAAATTGTACAAAAATGTGTTTCTTCTTCTCAGACTAAGACTAATTCGTTGATTAATATTCATTTCATCCTCCGAATTGTTATATTTTCAATACGTTATCTTCAGTAGGTTACTAACGGGAAACATTTTTGTATGTATCTTCAGCTATCTTGATATGGAAGATATTTCTTCTCGCTTCAACATATATCTTCAGCAACTTGGTAACAATAAATTTTCAATGAATTTATCTTCCGAGCTCCTAATTCGTTGAAAACTTATTACATTCCATTTGTTTACATCGCACCTATCAATAAGTTCATTTTCGGCAAAATCAAGGTTTATTACTGCGATCAATTTACCTGTAGCATCGAAAGTCGCACTCGGTGCACTTGTGCATGTCGATGTCAATGAAATGCGCCCGCCAGAGATGCGTGGCCATGAGCCGCCACTGCTGCGCAGTTTTGGGACACTCGGGGCACTTGAGGCCCACAGACGTGGCCGGAGCTTCGTAGTCCTCGTCGCCCAGCGCAACCTGAGGATGACATCGACGATGGTACTCAACCTTATCCTGGGACGTCAGCCGGAGTCCGCATCCTGTAAGATGGTAGATAATTAGTTCATGATTAGGTATCTCTCGGGACAGATGTCTCCTTTGTGTGCTCACAAGGAAAAGGTGTGACCCCCAAAACAGAAGTAAAGAATGTTGAATAACCAAAACAAACATGGATAAACTTATCAACTTGCGGTATGATTATTATTTGATATTAATGCTCAAAGAAAACAACATGTCGATCAAGAGTTCTTGATAACTAAATTTTCATACTGAAATATTTTGAATACCTCCAACATCACAGCGGAATCCAAGGAGTTTGGCGGTTTCGTCCGAGGAGCAATTTTTCTTTCGTACTTTGGCAATACCCACGGATTTCGATGCAAAAGGACGACCTGATTTTGGGATACTTTTTTTTCTTCGTTGCTTAGTTTGCAGGTCGACTTCTTCGAGATTAGTTGAAGTACAAGCATCTGTAGTCCAGGTAATAATTGGTTGAAAAGTTTCTCCATCTTGTGAGTCATTGACAGCGCGTGTGATACCGGAATCTTTGGCAACGGCTACTGCAGAACTTTTCTGACTCACAACAACGTTTAAAGTGTCCGCTTCATTCAGAGTCGAAGCATCTACATGTTTTTGGATCACTTCACTTTTCTTGGAGCTATTATGCTGCTCAGCTGGAATCAGCAAAGGCGACAGCGTTGACGCAGATCGAATAACTGATGTGTTTATTTTAAGGGTCGAAACGCTGACTTGAGGAACACTTTTTTGTTCGTTGTAATGACTTTGATGTGATGTTACTACAGTATTCTTCAGAGTTGGTTCTGGATTCAAGTTATTAGCAGAAACTACCGGCGGAACCATAACTTCTGGTAGTTTATATTTCGGCAAATTTTCGGTTACTGAACTCGTGCGTGGCCAATAGACTTTGACCTTTTTTGGTTTGTGATAGTGGTTTTCCAAGTTTGAATCGTCAACCTCGTTAAGATGGTCCGGATGGTCGTTCTTCATATGTTCTTCGGCGTCATGTTCATTAGAGAACACCTTGGATGGACAGAAACGGCACCTGTAACAGACCTGATGCAGGAGCGTGTCACTTGATTGGTGAGGATCTTTTCGCCGGATTGAAGTTTTTGATGTCCTGAGAGGCGCCTGGGTCAGAGCGTTTGATTCTAGATGAACTTTTTGATTTGGTTTCACAAGAGTGCCGGAGAGAATTTCTTCATCCCGTTGGGAAGTTGTAGCGAGATTGACATCTTGCGAAATAACTGAAGGAATTTTGTTTGTATTAACGCTAATCTGCAAGTTGGCTGTTGAACTATCGTCTTCCTTTTTGCCTATTGCCGAGTCGAGCATCTGAGAAAAGGTGAGATCAGGCTGTTGCGACGTGGATTTTCTGGGAGAAAAGTTTCTATCCAGGGCGTCCATTAAATTTGTGTTACTGACGGAAATATCATCATCCGATAAATTACTGATGTCAAGACTCATATTTGAGTTATCAAGAAACGCAGATGAGAATGTGAGGGTCATTTCCGAAGCATGTCCATGTGGCAAATTTTGCGTTATTGAATGATTCCTGACAAATGAAGTCTTGATGCCATTAGCGGTGAAAATATCGGGGCAAGTTAGGCTTGTTGAGAGTCCTTGTAAATCTGCCAATGAACCAGCAGATTCTTCTTCGAGGTTATCGCCAAGAATACCTTGTGAAACGCCAAATTCTTCTTCCAAAGACGTAGAGAACGGCATGTTCATCAAATCGTCATCGTCCCTCATATTGATGTCATTAACCTGGTGCGATAGAGTCGGACTTAAAGCAGATGTTGCAAGATCAGACGATGTATTTTGTATCACAATTTGTGGGGAAGACGATGCCACCGCAACGTTCTGCTGAAACTCTCCCGGAGACAGCGGAGAAACTGAGAATTCCGAGTATTGTCGATTTCCATGCCCTTTAATGCTGGATTTATTCGATGGTGTTGTTTCCTTGTGTCTCAGGACATTGTTTCCAAGTCGGTTTTCAGTAGATGATGCGGCTACGCAACTCGTTGTTAATATCACGGGATCTGGTCGAGTCGTGAACGCATTATTCTGAGTTTGTTGCATCGCGAAGTTCCCTTCTAATGAATGTTGTAAGCCAGTCATGGATGAGTTTCTTAAAGAGGGAATGGGAATAATTCTACCTGAAGTTTTTACTGGGCTGGCAGTTGCCCTACTTGCAGGGTTGACAAATTTGTTCTTGGAGCAACTTCTATCAACGGTTTCTGGAAAAAATTTCAACTCACAATTTGATGGTTTAGCAAAATCGTGGTGCTTCATGGCCCTGTTGTGCAACAGTCCACTATTTTCTAATAATTTATTCGAGGATAAATTTTGCACGAGTGCATTGTTAACGTGAAACTTTGAACTAGTAGGAAAAGTAGGCAGTTTTTTTATCGTAGGATCAGTAACGATGGTCTTAGAAGTAGACCCAGATCGAATCAAAGCGCTGTCTCTGGCAGTGCTGTCTGGAGTGTGCCGACCTGATGAAACACTTGTAATAATGGGGAGATCATTCATGCAATGACTGTGATCTGGAGTTGAGGCTTCAGTTATATTAGTCGAATAAAATTCTAAAGGTGATGCCGATAATACAGTCTGCGTTTGTGTTTTCGATGCAACTGTTGCCCCAGTTGTTAGAGAAACATCTCTATTTGGTTGGGTAGTTCGTTTTGATGAAAATATTTGTCCATGGACAGGAGACAACGAATAATGTTCTTCATCGTTGATATTAATTGATCTTTGAGCTTTCATGGGCCTAGTGCTCGTTTCATATTTTTTGGAAGGAACTGCTTGGATGACTGGAGTAACTATTCCATATGAAGTAGCTTGTACGGAAGTCATATTTTGGTCACCGATCATTAAAGTGCGACATTCGTCATTTCCCATGAATTTAGAAGATCTTGAAGTTTCAGCTGCCGATGAAATGTGGTGCAATATTTCACTACAAGAAGACGACACTGCGGCCACATACGTCGGTGGAGGACCAACTACAAAATCCTCCAGGGAACTATGAAGAGCCCCACAATGCTGCATCTGAAGAGATAGAGGGCCTACCTGAGAGCTCGTGATTTCAACCTGTGCTGCTTCTGCCGATGAACCAGGGTATCCAAAAGAGGCAACGTCTTCAAAGTTAATTAAAGTGGACCCTAAAGATAGAAGCTCTTGTCTGCTTGCTGAGGAATCTTGATTTTTCATAGTAAAAATTGAAGCGTCAGATCGACCAATGTCGTCGTGCGGGGACACAGGCGCGTTCATAGGAGGTTCCATCAGGCTGTCTGATGCCGATGACCCTGGCATCGCGGCAAAATCTGAGAGCAGATCTGATTCATCGATGCCAAGAAGATAGCAGTCTCCCTGAAACACAAACGTAGCCTAACTAAGGGATTCGCCACAATAGTTGACTGAAGACAAAGGCATTACTGGAATGATATTGCAAGGAATTAGACGTACAGGATGCATGCTATATATACTGGTAACACAAAGTTTTGTATTCGATTGCAAGTAGGAGAAATCTATTCATAGGATATACATCAAACAAAATAAATAACTATACAAAATAATAAACGTTTTTTAAAGGATAGCAAGCAACGATGAACCGAAGATAAATGAGTGAATAACCAGATCAATTTTTTTAAGAATGCAAAAACCAAATCAATTAAATTAGGTTAGTACTGAGTTGTAAGTCAATTCCAGGCTTGAAAAAAAGTTGAAGGGCTAGTCCTCTGAAGAAAGATTAAAGATTATGAAGCTTCCAAGGCTCTGTTATCGACGTATGCGTGAGAACCTCATTGAAGTATAAAGTATACTGGACAACGTTATATGAGTCATGGTTCGTTAATACAGCATTTACTTATGATCTCTAAACGCTTCTACCATTACTTTTATTTTGTTCATATTATGATAATCTGTACCTCGTCTAGTACTGTCCCCGTAGATCTTGTATGTTCAGAATTTAAATGGTGTGAAATTCCATCATATTCTAAGTCTTGGAAATCATAGGATCCGGGGTTAGTGCCGCGTGAAGTCGGGGTTCGATACGTCATGGTGAATTCTGCTGATGTACTGTCGGATCCCAGCTGTTCGAAGTGGCTCTGTGGCTTGCGAGACGCGCTCTCATCCGTCGCACTCATCTGCCATACAAGATTCTACGTTATCGACTTGAATGCAACAATTTATACTCTTACATATGCTTTGAATGTCATACATAATTCATAATTGTGTTATCTACCTAATATCATAATATGTGGAACAAAATAGCACATTCCGAATAAATTTACTCGTAACTGTAACTGCATTTTTATAGTTATATAAAAAAAAGAGATCTATAGCGCTAAGATCTGTAGTTAAAAATTTATTGCCCCCAAAGACACGCCAAACACACAAACCGAGCTAATTCAATTTCTCTCATATTAAATTTTCTTGCATTTGAAGGCCAGCTATATTTTCAGATTATTATCTGGCACTCTGATCATTCATGCAGAGAATAACACAGCAGAGATGCTTACACAATTCGTAACAAAAACTTTATTGCTAAAAAATGAACAAAAATTATGTTTAGTATTCAGAAGCATTGTCGCAAAAAGTACCACATTAAGTCGGACATTAAAGAACATGATTCAAACAGGCTTTTGCTCGATGTCAGAAGAGTTACCCTGAAGTACCCTAAAGTACCTAGCCTCGCGCTGACGACACCAAAACATGGCGGATCAGACATAATTCCAGAGGAACTATAAAATAGAGTCAATTAGAATAGTATCAGGAATCTCTTTGAAGGGAAAAATAGCTTAAAAATCGTCTGCGTAGTAATATTCGTAGGCACTTCAACAAATAATTTACTTATCAATGAACTCCCAGTATGTCTGACGAGAATAGGCATGGCTGCAATATGGCGCCAGGCCGAGGCTAGTTATTTACACTCAACACCAGAATGCCGTCACTATGATGCTAGAAGTTACGACCCCTATAAAAACGTTACCTTTACGGATGATGTGACAGTGAATTTGTAGAAATAAACTATATCTAAAAGGTGCTTTACAAGAACCTAGGTTAAACTTAGTCGCATCACCACACGTCACCGAACATTTTGCTTACTGAAAGTGAGCGTGTGCGCAGAGGAATCATTCACATACATGACCGGCAAGATGACGTACGATACTTGGGACATGAATTGTACCGCCATTTTTAAAGACCTGAATGTGGTCTCTTTAACGAATCTGGAAAAACTGCTCTCTCGTAACTGTGCTTTATTATTATTATTTTTTTTTAATTTGATGTGTATGCTTTGTTTGTGCGACAAAATAATGAGAATTGTTGGCAAACGAAAGTTTTCGCTGTTGACCTTGGGCATGAGTTTTGAGTATGTATAATAAAGTTGAGGCCTCGATTTGAGCCTGAGGTTTGTACTTTGTAGCCTCAGTAGTGAGTAGGTGTCAGTGTAAAGCGCAAGATCAAGATGTTAGGTAAGAAATTCGCAAATAAAGTGCTCATTTAAACTTTTTTACAGTTTTAAATATAGTAATATGTTTGCAAATTTCATGAAAATTAGCAAAAGTCATCCCTAAAGCTGTTGGTTCAATAAAAATAAACTTGAATATTATATTTCAAACTGAATCCTAACTTCAGTTTCACCATGTTAAACGAGTGCTGACCAGTGACCACTGTTTTTTCTTTCGCGATTGGGTCTCCAGGTGCAGTATCAGCTGGGTGGCAACTTTTGTTTAATTTATGGTAGCCTAGGCCCTAGTACATGTACCATCATGGTTACATCACTTGCATCATACATGGTATATGTTTAGACTTTACAGAACTTCTACCTTTTATTTAATAAATTTGTATATATAGCCTAAACGTGCAACAGAATGGCTGTGAATGGCTTCTTCTTGTACTGCTAATCTGCTACTGCTGGACATAGTGACAAACCAGAGATTTTTTAGAATCAGTTCATTTTTAACTTCCTCATTTATTCCAGATTTAAACCAATTTCTTAACTTGCTGGATGTCACTCATTTCCCCTGGACAGAGGCTGGACAGCCTGGACTAATTGCATATATTTTCACTATTTCACAGGCAGTAGGGGCAGCCTGGCAGGTGCTAGTGTCCTACTAAGGAAAAGCTTTGTTCTGATACAATTTGTTTTTCTCCTTTAACTATCAAATTTCCTGAAATGGTGGGAAAGCTCTAGTCACAGCCCTGGTGGTAGAAGTTTCCCATGCTTGCTCCTCTTGCTCACTCAATCAAGGGGAGGGAGCAGGATGGCTGCATGCTCCAATACATGTGGGCTGCTGCTGCTGCCAGCCCACATATTGGAGCCTGCTGCCGCTGCTGCTGGCCTGCTGCTGGCTTGCTGGCATTAGAGCTCACAGCCATTTTGCTCCTATAGGAGCAAGCAAGCTCCTATTTTTGGCCACTGAGCTCTTCAATTACATACGTACATGGTCACTAAGAAGGCATTTACTTTTAATGCCACCATGGACTCTGGGTTAGTTTAAAATTAAAAAATAGCATAGAAATGTAGCAATTGTCTCAAAAATAGAACATAAATGAATGTTATTAAAATATTTAAAGTAAGGTAAGGATGGTCTCTCTAAGACTGAATTACAGTTCACTGTGAATTCACTCCTTTTTATGTCCAAAAGTGACAATAAAAAGCTCAATAAAGATGATGGATAATAGATTGAGATAGAGAGAATTACAAAAATATGATTTAATCTTAGGTATAAAGATCTCTGAAAGTTACATTTTTTGATTTACCATCATTGTAAAAATTTCCCAAATTACTGTGTACAGTATAAAAGCAAGCAAGAATACCTAGCTAACATTTTTTATGATACAAGTATTTTTAGATAACTATAATTGAGGACTATTTTTCTTCTATAGGATGAAAATAATAATGACCAAGCTTTGAACCTTTTATTCTATGAACCAATGGCTGGTCCAGTGGTTAAAGTTCAGTGTATCAAGATTGGAGCAGAGAGTTGCAGATTTGATCTCAGCCCTGTGCCTATTTCTGGTCAGAATCGGCAAGTAGGCCAGGCAAAAATTGAAGCAGTGAGCAGGGTTGGTGATTTTTTTTCATTTTTAGAGCTTTTTTGTCTTTTTGAAATGTTATTTTTTAGGTTGCAATTAGCCTACTAGCAATAACAGTATATGGATGGCTAAAAAGGGCAGTTATTGTCTTCAAAAATGGCTAAGGTGGTTTACCACTTTGGGCCTTTTGGGTAAACAATTATTGATAAGTCTATTCATTAGCTTTGTAAAGTTTGCATGGAGCAAGGTAATGAGCTAAATATTGACCACTTAACTGGCTTTAATATACAACAACACTTCAGGAATGCAAATCTTCTAAAAATTGAAGGGATAGGTAGCTGATTGCACAGTGCACAACACTATCAATAGATCTACTACTATGTCCTATAAATCTACCAGACTCTACCCTCTAAACACACCAACTAGTAGTTACTGACTGCACTGTTTCCATTTGATTCAGATCATTAAATCACTACTAAACATGAACTAAATGACAACCAAACAAACCTCAAATGTCTTGAAATGAGATTTACAGTATGTTGTGAGAAAAGCTAACACTTTGAAATAAGCATGTACACAATTTAAACATTTTATTTCCATATTTTATAGGTATATAGTTTTATACTTGTACGGTAATTGTTTTGTTTCTAGTTATAAATTTACATATTTTAGTTGCCACTTGCCTGGAACGTTTTTTTTCAAGGTGGAACGCTTTTTTTAAGTGAACCTCTAATCTTAGATTTCCACTCTGCCTTTAACATTTGTCAATATTAATTTAACCCTATGGCCTATTCTCTCCCAAAATTGTTGAGCACATTGAGCCTTGTCAGTTGTTAAACTGTTAGATCTCGCTCTGACCTAACTGCGACTAAACAAACTTCAGGGAAACCTTTTGGTTGACTTCAATGGCTGTTATTATGTTCTGCATGTTATTTTGGTGGGTGGTGGGAGCATTGAGGTGTATATATTATATACTGCTGATTGTGGAAGTTGAAAATTTTATGAAACTTTATGTTTGTGAAGTGCAAACCACTATTTTTTCAATCAAACAAAATTTATGACATTTGAGCTGCGAGATTTCATACCTACTGTATTATATGATATTAGAGCCACGATATTTCAGAAAAAAATAGGACTTTACCAGCCCTGATCTTGCAGCCTAATTGTGCACTTTTGTTAACAATTAGATAGCTAGGAGGTAATTCATCTGGTGGAAATCTTATCAAATTTCCTGAAATGGTGGGAAAGCTCTAGTCACAGCCCTGGTGGTAGAAGTTTCCCATGCTTGCTCCTCTTGCTCACTCAATCAAGGGGAGTGTTTACCCAAAAGTCCCTAAGTGGTAAACACCACCTTGGCCTGTTGGCCATTATTGAAGGCAATAAGTGCCCTTTTTAGCCATCCATTATGATCCATATACTGTTATTGTTAGTAGGCTAATTGCAACATAAAAAATAACACTTCAAAAAGACAAAAAAGTTGAAAAAGAAAAAAAAATCAAATAAATCAAAAAAATCATGAGAAAATAAAAAAAATCATTGATTTTTTATTTTTTTGATTTAAAAAAAAAATCAAAAAAAATCGCCAACCCTGGCCCTGTGCCTATTTCTGGTCAGAATTGGCAAGTAGGCCAGGCAAAAATTGAAGCAGTGAGCAGGGTTGGTGATTTTTTTTTCATTTTTACAGCTTTTTTGTATTTTTGAAATGTTATTTTTTAGGTTGCAATTAGCCTACTAGCAATAACAGTATATGGATGGCTAAAAAGGGCAGTTATTGCCTTCAAAAATGGCCAAGGTGGTTTACCACTTTGGGCCTGTTGGGTAAACAATTATTGATAAGTCTATTCATTAGCTTTGTAAAGTTTGTATGGAGCAAGGTAACGAGCTAAATATTGACCACTTAACTGGCTTCAATATGCAAAAACACTTCAGGAATGCAAATCTTCTAAACATTGAAGGGACAGGTAGCTGATTGCACAGTGCACAACACTATCAATAGATCTACATACTACTATGTCCTATAAATCTACCAGACTCTACCCTCTAAACATACCAACTAGTAGTTACTGACTGCACTGTTTGCAATTGATTCAGATCATTAAATCAATACTAAACATAAACTAAACAACAACCAAACAAACCTCAAATGTCTTGAAATGAGATTTTTTTTGTGAGAAAAGCTAACACTGTTTGAAATAAGCATGTACACAATTTAAACATTTTATTTCCATATTTTATAGGTATATAGTTTTATAATTGTAATTGTTTTGTTTCTAGTTATAAATTTGCATATTAAATGATTGAAATTAAATATTTTAATTTGAATACTCATATTAGGGTGGAAAATCTTTCTAAATGCCTAAAAGGTCCATACAATCTCAACCAACCCTTCTTTATATAAGCTACCTAACACATGTAAATTGTATAATGTAATTAATATATAACAAATAATTAATTAGTTAGTTAAGGACTACTTATAGCCTTGTAAGAATTAGCTAAGATGCTAGCTATGTACAATGTCTTGCAACACTTATGCCTCTGTACCAAAAACATACAATTCATTGGAATCTAATTCACACTAAAGGCAACAGGTTTATATTCCAATTTGTCATAGGACATTGATACTAAACCATGAATATCAATACCTCAAAATAAATTAAGACTGCCACTCAATATATTTAAATATATAAAAAAAATAAAAATCATGATTTTTTTTATGAGAAATCAAGTTATTTAATCACATGATTTAATCAGTTTGATTCAATTATTGCCAACCCTGGCAGTGAGCTACGAGTTTGAGCCTGCAACAAGCAGTGGATGTTCTGCGCTGATAAGAATTGGCAACAGGCCTTTGGCCTAATAAATGCTGAAACTGCTGTAATTCAGATTCCTGTTATGATCATTGGTTTTTTATAAATATATCTGAAAATTCAGTTTTTTACAAGGAGCCACATTGTTCTACTGTAAATCCAGATTCATATTACTGATGAATATACTTCTTGTATATATGAAGATTTTACCAAGATTTATATTATTTTTATACATTGACTATATATAATAGGCTTTCAAACATTGTTTTCATAGTAAAATTGTTATCAATGCATAAAATTATCAAATCAAATTTACAGGAGAAATCTTATCAACAAAAACCGCATTCTGAAGCTATGCGGCTGTGCATGTTGCACTTCAATTCCCACACAACCACTTTCATTTGTGAGGCAAAATCACAGAATTCAGCACAAGCCTGTTCGCAACAGTTTGTTTGAGCAAACAACACATGTAGAATTGCTCAATTCAGCACAATGGTGGTATTTCTTCAACTTTTCAAGTTATTTCACTGATAATCAGTATTTACTTCATCAATGGTACCATATCTGTACCTTGTGAATGAATGTAAACAATGTGCCTATAATGTCCACATTAGTACAAATTTCAAGAAATGCAGGTGTATGGTTTTTAATTTATTTTATTATTATTATTATGGTTTTTTAAACCATATTATTATGGTTTTGCTTAATTGTGCCGCTGTGTAACGTTTTTTTATTTCCGTCTACTCTGCACCTATATACCTAGCGTTAAAATGCCCCCTCCCTTTACCACATATAAGGGGGAAGGGGTGGGCATTTTTATACAACACTTTTCATATTTGGCCGTGTTGGCCGAAACTATCAGGTAAATATATAGTTGTACTATTTATGTATGATATGCGACAATGTGCATCAGGTTTTGTTTCAGATTTAATGTTATGGGTGAGATCTAAAACAATCCAGTTTTTGCCTGCTTTTACAATTAACAAAATTGAAATCCCATACATTTTCTGGTTGAAGATATCTAAATATACAAGCTAGGAAATGCAATTGTCTATCTCTATAAAACAACTTGAAATTTTGTTGAAAGAGTTGTACTAAGTATTTATCAAAACGCAGCCAGTGGGAGTTTGAGCAGTTATGCACACCAAGAGGCTTGTTCTGTTGAAATGTAGATTTGGTTGATGCACAAGCTACAACAGCTAAATGATTTACTCAATAAAGTCATAGTTATTCAAGTATAAATTAAAAATAAATAAATTATACACAGATGAAAATAGGAAGATTAAAATGTTTTAACCTATTCAAATGGTGGAATTTGGTGGCAGTAGTTGCAGAAAACTTTTTGAATTGGTCACTTCCTGAGCATGGGGTAGAACCCATAGAAAATGAAGATCCGGTTCTACACTCATAGCCACCAAGATCACCTGATTTCACCCCATGTGCCTATTTCTTATTGGGTTACATCAAGGAAGCCGTTTATGTCTCGCCTCTACCAGCAACTCTGGTTGATCTGAAGAACTGAATCACTGCTACTGGGCACTCAGTAACAGAAGATATGCTTTCTCTTGTGTGGGACAAGTTTGGCTACCATTGAGGTGTTTGTTGTGGAGCATAAATGGGACATATTGAACATTTATTAATATTAAAAATAAACCTTGAATGTTTCACTTTCCATTGGTGTGCAAATTATTCCTTGGAATTTATTCTTGAATAAGTACAAATTTATTCAATTGAGACCATCATTTAGAATCACCTGTATTATCCATAAAATTGCTAGAGGTCTTGTCAATTGATTGTGTGATTTTTCATTGAATGTGTAAATAGGTTCTTCATGTAAATAGGTTCTTTCTTCTGTAAATAGGTTCTTTGTTTCATACATTTTTCATGTCATTTAATTTTTTTATCTGTTTAAGATTTTATTATGATATATAGTAATTAAAAGTTGGGCTCTTCAGATGTGTTGTAATTCTTGGAATGCAGTGCTTAATGATGGGTTTTATGGCAAAAGATGTTCAATTAATTTGCTACATCCCTGATTTGGGGGGAACTAACTGATGTTGTTACCCAATTGCTATTTTCTGCATAGTAACCTCCTAATATCATGGTATTACAAAAAAGAGAACACTATCAATTCAACACCCTAATGTTCCAAGTGCCTTGAAATGTTGAAAACAGTTCCATGATGAAGTTCTTATTTCTTGAATTTTTGTACCTCATCTTTGTGCAGTTAGGTAAAAAAACTAAACCATTATATATTAGAAACTATCCTCCAATGAAGGTCACATCTATGATGTCACTTAATAAAACACAATGGTGATTGTTACTTACTTTTTTTATAACAGTAACATGACTTAATGTTTTTCTTCCATGTCAATTGATTTGTAATGTGAATGTACTTCAGATGATAATTGTTCTGTTTGTGCAGGCCAAGCTAACTCCCTCTACTGGGCCTCTAGGCTGTAAAATGAAAAAGGCAATGATAGCAGATGCTTACCATCATGAGTGGCTCAGATTATGCTTTTTGATGTGCCCAGAACTCTTGATCATGTGAAAGTAAGTGCCTTTCTAGTACCTAATCATAAACTAAGTTAATGAAAAAATAATCTTCCTTTAGCCTCAATATCTCTAGTTGGTTGTATACTGAAATGTAACAGACATCAGAATAATATGTACTGTAATATCGTTTTATTTCGTGAGCAGGTAATCATTGTGTGACTATTCTTTGCCTCGATGAGCATGAATTTGTTGTTTCAGCAAGCAATGTACTGCTGAACACTCAACTGCATACATCAGTGCCCCCAGTTATGAGAGTGATTTTTTATGTGTAGTTGATTTCTTTTAACCATAGAGGCTTTTTTTTTTATATATGTGATGCCATTTCCTTAGGGAGTTGGGAGTCTAAACTTCAAAGATAATTTTTTGTGGTTTCTAGGTTTCAGAGCAAGAAGTAGGTAGTTCAAATTTTTTTAATTTAGGTTGTTGATTCACCAACCCCACACTTGAAATGTTGCTGATCACACTCCCACCGAGTTAAAATATGATTTATCAAGTTTACATTTCATCAATTTCATGCTCCCAGTAAGTTTTTCTTCAATGCAGTTATGAATCCGTTACCCTGTTGTTCTCACATTTGACTAACCGTAATTAGCTGCATTTTCGGATACTCATAACTAACTGGAATACTCATATTTTTGATTGCACACTCAATTCCTACTAATTATTTCCAGAACTCAACTACTGAACTACGACATACGTCTTCAGGCCAACTAGCATCCAAGGTGATTTCGTAAGTGGTCATTAAGAATTGTGTTTGGCTATATAGAGAATTATCACGTTATTCCGGCTCTACCCTGGGCTTGATAATCTTTGCAATTTTAAAATCTAGATCTGCCAAATATATATTTGTAGTCATATTTTCCCTGATACCGGTAATTACAATGAAAAATAATGATGCTTATCAATTCTAACAATGAATGGCTCGTCTACACCTTGATTTTCATGGAATATACGTAGAACACCCATTCGGCTCTCGCCTAAGTATGAAAAAACGATTTACTCATTTTATATTGAATATCTAATGCCAATTTAAATTGCAAATTTTAATTTTCATTCCAATCTTTGCTTCTCACTTTTGCAAAGCCTTACTATGCTCTTCCTAAAAATAAATGCTCAGCTGCAAGTAATATCATGACACTCTCGAATTCTCATGGATAAGCTCTCGAACGCATACTATGTACGGTTTCAGGCGTCTGACGCGCTCACGAAACAACTTTGACAAACATTTATTAAATGTAAACTGACTTCATTGTTGATCGACCAGAGTTGTTTAGTACATGTATGATCGATCATACACATGTTGACTTGCGTATGATCTAAGTCGGATTTTTTTTGCTGAAGAAATGTATTCATGCATAACGTTTTAATAAAGTTTTTCTTTTAAGTAGCAAATTTTTATTGTCAATGCCTGTTTGTGGGTGCTTACTACTACGAAAAGAGTTGGGAGACGAATTGTACTTGTTAACTCGACCTGAAGTAATGAAAAACTGGCATTATGATTCTCTCGACCTGAAGTAATGAAAAACTGGTATTATGAAAAATGTTTTTCAAGTTATATGTATGTTCAAGAGCAGCCATTTTGATTTGAAGAATGGTGATGTATTTACTTCGACTAATCATTGTTACGTGAGACATGTTCAAATATTGAGATGTATATTCGGTGCTGATTGGTTAATGATGCATGCAGTTATGCTCGAGTTTTTATCTATCAAGTGAAGAGGGAAATAGCAGTTGACTGATAAAATGCTCCTTGGACGCAACGCGTGACATTCCTCTAATATTTTCGCTGGTTTAGGCTCCTCGTTCTCATCGATAAATTATTGATTTTTTTGCGCAGCAAAGATCCGATTTAATTTCTGCTGTACTGGCATTATGATTCTCTCGACCTGAAGTAATGAAAAACTGGTATTATGAAAAATGTCCTTCAAGTTATATGTATGTTCAAGAGCAGCTATTTTAGTTTGAAGAATGGTGATGTATTTACTTCGACTAATCATTGTTACGTGAGACATGTTCAAATATTGAGATGTATATTCGGTGCTGATTGGTTAATGATGCATGCAGTTATGCTCGAGTTTTTATCTATCAAGTGAAGAGGGAAATAGCAGTTGACTGATAAAATGCTCCTTGGACGCAACGCGTGACATTCCTCTAATATTTTCGCTGATTTAGGCTCCTCGTTCTCATCGATAAATTATTGATTTTTTTGCGCAGCAAAGATCCGATTTAATTTCTGCTGTTATTAGCAAGCAGTCGATTTTTAATCTTATAAGCCATACAATGATAATAATTTGAAAGAAGAAACAACACCAGGGGCCACGGCTATAAACTAAAAAAAACTGCGTTATAACACATCCATGCGACAACATTTCTTCTCGCTTCGAGTCACCGACATATGGAACAGCCTCCTGATAGCATCGTTGACGCTCCGAGTATGAACACCTTCAAGAACAGGCCAGACGAAGCTATGCAATAGCATATGTTCAGTCTTAAAATTCCTAGCAAATTACGGACCAGCAGGCAATAAGTCCAGCAGCCATCTCAATCAATCGTCAGTTAGGAAAGATCGGGTTCCAAAGGCCGGATCCCTTGTGAATCAAGTCGCGAAAAATTCAAGAATCGGCAACAGGCCATGGGCCTATTTCTTCAGTGCCGACTCTTCTAATCTAATGAAAGTTTTTCTGAAAAAATCCCCATTTTAGAGAAGGCGACTGAAAAAAACTTTTGTTTTACAGTTGTATTTTCACGTAATTGTACGAGGTTAAACAGATCGATGCGAGTTCTATATTGACGCAGTTATGCGTGATAAGATACGGTCATACTAACAAGGGCCGAATGCATTTTCCATTAGGAATGTACAGAGCGAGGAAAATTAAAACATTGCACTTAGCGGTGCAATGTGAATGTAAGTGTTTAAATAATAATTTAACCGGTGAATGTTTTAATTTCAGTCGCGAATCGGAGCAATAGAGTCAGATACTATTCTTCAATCTTTCATGACAATTGTAATTGAAATTTAGTTATAGTTTTTGTTTAGAGGTCTAGACTCTTAGAGTCAAGTTAAAAGCATAAAGATGCGGGGTTGTTCACTCATGATGATAATCTCGATTAGTGTACAGAGAAAGATCTAAACATTTCTGGAATCGTCGTTTTCTTCTCTTGCTTGACCACTGCTTTTCTAGATAATCGCGGTATATTAATAACTCGCATGACTCTCAAGGCTTCTCACTGACCAATCAACGACTCGACTCTCGAGGGTGTGTTCTAGTGACGTACCTATGTTGGCGATTGCATTTAGCCCGAGTGAGCTGGTTCTCATCGATTTTTAATATTGTAAGCTAGTGCACAAATTCACTGTAAAATTTTGCGTCCATCTTGAATTTTGTTACCAAAGAAGCGAAAGTTTACAAACATATAATAAATTATAGTACCCTCAATCTAGAATTTTAACAAAAAAAATTCTGCAGCATGACCGACAGAGCTGCTCGTTTTCTATCTAAGTGAAATGTCGAAAAACCATAAGAACAACTGGCTGGCCGAGATTTCATTTACTGAGCTGAGTGACGAGAGACCCGGTTTCAGCCGTGGGGTGAAGCCGTGTTGTGCATACGGATACGGCTTCAAGGATGTTCAGTGTGCCTTGGCAGCTTAGCGAGTGCGCTCTTTCAGTGCGTCTATCTTTTTCGCGCTATATTTTCCCTGCAACTGCAGGTAATTACTATCTATTTTATGAGCATATCATGAGTTTGTACAAAACTAAAGTATCTGAGTTGTTTCGTACTTGTGTATTATTACCCTGCTTCTTGTTTTTACTCCCCCGGCTGCCTTCTTGCTCTCCAGAGGTTGCAACATTATCTTGCGCCACATGCAATGACACGCAGGAAAATCACGGGAGATGGTCTTGATGTTGAGATAAATAATCGCATTACGATACCAGATATCTCGGGCTACAGTAACACATCATCACAATAAAATGTATTTTATTATCATGCTGTGTAAATATCTATTTGCGTGGGCATCAATAGATAAAGTTTTTATTAATGAATGCATTTTCGCCTAGTTTGGTTCCAAAACCGTCCCCTGAATTGTCGAAATTGTGATTTTTTCGGTAAGCTACCCAGGCAAGGGTTTGGAAATGTGGCGCCCTCTGCCAGTTGCATTCCGTGGCTAGCAACCAACTCGTGGCATCTGAGTTGAGCGCTCGGTTGTGACTTGTGAGATTGCGTGTGTTCGGACTTCTGTACAGTGTACATTGTACAATGCCAGTGTTGTGTTGCCTGTTGTGGCGGTAGGTTAGGGTATTTGGGGACTGATTAAGGGATATTCACGCACAACGTGGTCGTTATAGCATGTTGGCCGCGTCACAAGTATACAGGCGTTTTAGTACGTCACAGGTTTGTTTTTATTTGTAACAATATATGTAATTACTCAAACGTTTAGTCAATATGTTTCTCGTTATCGGTGTACTAGACTCAAGTTACCAATGTTGACTTAATGTAGCTTTGCAGATGACTGATTAATTTATACCTAGTCATGTTCATTTCTACACTGTTAATTTAACTTTTATTGTAAAAGAAAATGTTACTTGCTTCTCTCGTAATTGTGTTTCTTTCGTATTATTGAATAGTCGAGTCCTGAAGTTTACACGTTCTGACACTCTACAAGGTAAAGATAAATTTGTGATATGGAAACTAGTGTAAACATTGCATGATGATTCCTTCTTTAGTCTCGACGTTGATGCAATTCATTCAACTTATTCTGGGTAATAGTGTGTTTGAGTAATTATTTGTTAGGATGAGTAATTTAGTAAACGATTTTACGATTTTTTTTTCTAAGCGCTGTGGCCGCGGAAAGATCTGGGAAGATTTGGACTGAATGAAAATGTGAATCTTGCATTACTTTCGTGTACCGACCGCACTTTTCTTTTGTACCATACCACGTTTATAAGCGCATATATATCCTTTATAATCCTTACATACATACATTGCTTTCATCATAGTTACTCGGAAGAACTTGAATGAGTAGTCTCATACTCTCATTCAATACGAGCCGATTTTTAGATGTGCTGCCTTAAAGTTTTAATTCATGATGCTTAGTGAAATTCTGGCATGAAAGATTTGTCATTCAACCAACAACAAACGCAGGTTGTGATCGCGTTAACAGGCTTTCCGCGATTTCTCCTCCATGCGAAAATTTTGTCTGAACCAGCCAGCACTTTCTCCCAGGTAACGCGTGGAGCCCTGGAGCCCATTGCCCCCGCTCAGCATGATATACTATTTCTTTTTGGCTATTCATATATAATTCGATCAAATTAATTTCGATTTATATTGATATTTAATTGAGATAGTATTCGTTTACTCCCTGCATGTCCAAATCTTCACTTTTCCGAACTCACCCACGGACTCACACCCACGCAACAACTCACAACTTTCACAATTTTAACGAATTTGCAGGAAATTTAGAGTATAGCTAATTAGTTGCAATATGCCGCGGAAGGAATTGTTATAAATTTTCACTGGTTTCGTTTTCGATTAAAACGAAACTTTAGCGCAACCGTAGCTCACTCTTAATTCTGAACGGATCGATCTGCCTGAAATCTAGAACATAACTCTTTATTAGCTAGTTATCATATTGTCCTGACCTAACATAACCCTGACCTATCCTAGCCTAAGTTATCTTGATCTAACCTAACTTATTTTTTTAACGTTTCGCTTCAAGCGTAAATGCAGCAACGTAAAAATTTGTGAAAATTCCTACCGCCGTGTTTTGCTGCCAATTACGTTTCAAATCTCATGCAGATCCGTTCAGAAATTTGGGACCTGACAGCTGTTCAGCTTCGCGAATCTTTCGGTTTTTACCGTTTGGTCGAAAACGAACGATGTAACTATTTGTGATTATTCCTCCCGCGGCGCGTTGCTTTGGTTAGTTATATTGTGAATTTAATTAAAATTCGTTCTGAATTGACAGTGAGCTGTTGAGTTGCGTTGTGCGTTTGAGTCAGCTGATAAGTTCGCAGGTGAGTTGTTTATCCAATAGGTACCACAAGCAAAAGACTAGATGGAATGCCATGACGATGAGATTGACCTGAAACTCTATAATGAAGGAAATGTTTGGTGAAGATGTGAATCATCCATCATTCAGGACAGGCAGAACTTCCGTTATTTTGTGTTCGCTACGCACAATTCCGTCCTAGTCTTCAGTTCCTGAAGCGTTTAAAGTTTGGTTTTTGACATTCTATTAGCTCAAGAAATAACTAATTTCGAATCGTCAGCATAGTAGGTAAATTCTTAGTTTCTATGTGTCCATTTTCTTCTGAAATCTAATTAATTTAGTCGATAACTCGTGTAAAACGGAGCGTACTCTGACGCTTCATACTGCGCAGAGCCTGCTAGACAAGATGCGTGTCGCAATTATTGGCCAGAGCACCTTTGCCGGGGAGGTGTACAAGCAACTCATGAAAGAAGGTCACAAGATTGTCGGAGTCTTCACCATTCCAGATCAAGGAGCGAAAGAAGATCCGCTCGGTATGAAACGTCGCTGAAACCATATAGAAATTACATCAATATCAGATACGGTCTTTTTGCATATTTCATGCGAGGACAAATACAATCGAACCGATAACTTAGCTCCATAGTTTGATCACATGCATGATATTTTGATGTGAAAAAATGTTGAAATTTTTCCTTTCTAAGTATTGCCTAATATAATATTGATAACTCAGCTACCGTTGCTGCGGGCGACAATGTGGCTGTGTTTAAGTTCAAGTCCTGGCGCAGCAAGGGAGTCGTTCTTCCTGAAGTTCTTGACGCCTACAGATCTGTGGAGCCTGACCTCAATGTTATGCCATTCTGCTCGCAGTTCATTCCTATGGAGGTCAGTTAGAACTTGAATAAAAAGTTTGAACACATTTCATTCGTATTGTATTACATGATTTACATCATAAATATATTCAGGTATGTTTCTCCATGTGTTGTTTATCCAAGAATCTATTCCATCCTGATTACGCTTGATTAATATTATCTGTCAATTATAAATTAGCGAGATTACTCGTTTGCTGTTGCTTTCATTACTTGGTTAACATAAATGTGTACTGCTAAGGGTTTTGAGCCTGACATTTTCTGCCTACTGAAGAATGAATACATTTTAAATGGAAGTCCAGTGGTTGTTGTACTGTTCTGACCGTTACAGGTAATAAATCATCCTAAACACAAGTCCATCTGTTATCATCCGTCCATCCTGCCGCGTCATCGCGGCGCCTCGTCCATCAACTGGTTAGCTTAGAAACTGTTGAAGTTATTGTTTCTTCAATGAACTGTTCTCGATTTGGTTATTATTTTGCTAGCCGCCAATTTTTTATTCATGAAATATTTTTTTCGGAATGATTTTTAAATTTGCAATTGAGTTGGTTTATTTAAATGAGATTTCCGAGTCGAAATATCTTGAACTGATTCATTTGATATACAGATAAGAGGAATTTTTTTTATAAGTTTAATCTAATTTCACACCCTAAAAAATGATGAAAAAATTGGATATTTTATTTGCCCTAGAATATGATAAAATTTTCGGGCTGTGAATTGTGACTACATTTAACTCGCGCCCTTAAGAAGAGGTATTTACCCTCAACCATCAAAAAGAGACATCGACAATTAGTTTCAATATTATTTTTTAACCGAAATGCACTCACGCTCTTGAGAATTAATACCTTTCGACCAATATCAATTTCAGGACTCTGATGTGTGGAGACAAGAAGGCAGGCTTCTCTATATTCTGGGCTGACGACGGCCTCGACACCGGCCCCATCCTGCTGCAGAGAGAGACCGATGTCGACCCCAACGATACCGTCGACTCGCTCTACAATAGATTCATGTATCCTGAGGGCATTAAAGCTATGGTAATCTATTGAACATTTCGACAGTAATAATATCACTCGTTTGCTTGAATCGCAGATTTTCATTTCGACAGTATTTGTTTGTGTACTCGGAGCATGGCAATGTAAATGTACAAGGGGCTTGCAAAAAATCATATTCACATTACTTTTAGTATACCTATCGAGATATTACCTGGATCTGTAAATTTAAGTATTTAAAGTATAATTATTAAGTATTGAAAAAATTGCGGGTGGAGATTTGAATGCATGGCAGTAAGTATTCGTTACTTAACGTATATATACGTTACTAAACAGTAAACATACCATATACATAATGGTATGCGTAGAATGTTTGCGTGACTTTAGAATGATCTGCCACAATATCTGCACCTCAAAGGAGCTGATAAAAAGCGACTGCGATTTCTCAGATAAAGGGAGGCTTTTTTTTTTTTTTTTTTTTTTTTTTTTTTTTTTTTTTTAAAGNTTGCATGCAGTAAATAATTTTTTGGGGGCCATTCAATGAGGTAAATTTTTTTAAATGCTTACAATGATAACATAAAAACAATGTGTTGATCTAAACCTGTCTCTTATACACATCTAGATGTGTATAAGAGACAGGCTTTCGCCCGCGCAGCAGCAAGGAACACGTCACGTCGCAGGCTGTTGAATGCATTCGCCATGTCAACCTTGAAAAACACTCTCCGGCCCGAGGCACGCCCGAGGTACGCACGGGCTGCATGAGCAGCAGCCTCGCACCCAAGGGAGGCTTGAGGAGGCTTGAGCACACTTCAAGGAGGCTTGAGCACACTTCTTTTATTCGTTACGTTTCTGTAAGAATGACATGTGTGAAATGTTCTGCGATTCGGCAGTATTTTGCCGAATATGTTCTGCGTTTCGGCACTTCAAACGGTTTTTTGATGTTGATCCACTCTCCGCATTCGAAATTGAACTGTGACGATTTCCAACTGGGTACAATTTTTGTTAAAAAAACAATGAAATTTTTAATAGCGAACAATTTTCAGTATAGGCATTGGATAATGTACCGTTATTGCGCTAATTGTCAGCATATCAAATCTAGCATTCTCCGAATCCCTAAGAACTTTATATCCTTTTGTGTCATTTACAGAGTAATTCCTTGCATGCAATTTAATTCATTATTTGGTCAATATATAATGCCATTATTGCTTCGCAAGGTGGAGGCAGTTCGTCTGGTTGATCAAGGCAAGGCTCCCAGGATAGTCCAGCCCGAGGAAGGCGCCACGTACGACGCGATGCTGAACAAGCCAGAGCTCTGCAGGCTGCCGCTCGACCAACCTGCTGAGGCCATACATAACTTCGTGCGTGGCATGGACTCATCCCCTGGAGCTTGGGTCTCCTTGGATGGCAAGCAGGTAATTATATAGCAATCAAGAAATTTATTTATTGATTATTACTGATGAAACTTTGGAGTACATACTACATAACTTCGTGCGTGGTATGGACTCGTCTCCTGGAGCTTGGGTCTCCTTGGATGGCAAGCAGGTAATTTTGTAGCTATAAAAAAATTTATTGATTAATTACTACTAATGAAACTTTGGAGTAGAACGAGATTCACACATTTTTTATGAGTAGCATGGCCTGTGATGGATCGGATAATTTTTATAATGAAAAAATTCGCTCGTTTATAAATCATTTGTGGGAAATTTTAAGTTTATTATGAGATAATCTTAGATAAAAAGATGACAGTTTTCATGAAGAGCGTACTCATAATCAGTTTGTTTATGTTTAGACGAAGCTCTACGGATCGAAGCTTTGGACGGGAGCCGCCCCGAGTAAAGGCAAAGAGGTGACCATCGAGGGCCTCTCCACTCCAGGCCTCATTACTGAAGACGGCTTGATACTCACTGGCTCTGATGGCAATAAGGTTCGATTATTATTTCCACGTTGATTTTTAGTACTAACAATTTTGTTTTAGTATAGCCACATATCTTTATTTTTGAAATATTTTAATATATGGCTGTAGAGGAATAAATAAAAAACGAACAGCATGAAAATGATTGAGAGCAACAAATCACGGTTAAAAATTAGTTGTTGTACAATTAGTTGTACAGTGAGGTACAATTAGTTGTACCTCACTGTGAAAGATGGCCGGAAGTATTTGTTTTGATGAATGGTATATATAATTAAATTTTCGCAACAGTGATGTATACGAGGAAAATTTCAACACTATGAATTTCAAAAGAATATACTCTAAGATTAAGTTACCGAACATCTCACTCAGGATAAATCTAAACGAAGTATTTGTAAATGTTGTTTCCTGGTCATGACAGGTGTCCATTGCCCGTCTGAGCGTAGACGGGAAGATGGTCGTGGCTTCTAAATACGGAGCTGCGGGCGAGGGCAAAGAGACTTTGAAGCTCACGGAAAAAGAACAAGCCGTGGCTGAGCAACTAAAGGGGACTTGGAAAGCAATACTCAATATTGAAATTGTGGATGAAACGGATTTCTTCAAAGCCGGTGCTGGTTCAATGGATGTTGTCAGGTACTGGCTCCACTTTTAACCTAATTTTGTGATATTTCATTGAAAGCCGAGTATATACATATAAGCTGAACATTTCTTCTTATATTAATATTAACAATTCGACTTGACATTTACAAAAAAAAAAAAAACATTCGCGATGCCATGTCTATTAGGCAAAATTTATTGATGAATTATTTCTGATTCCTACTGTATGAGAAGTCGATTCATTCCTCCTTCATCTCGTACCAGTAGTTCTGGCTGTTCAGTTCTATTACCACAACGAAAATGAAACCAATTGAATGTTTCTATTATTTTTACGTTAAATTTTTGATCTGTCAACTGCCATTAATCAGAGTTTATCGGTATTTTTGCTTGATGAGTACGAAATGTTCAAATGCAGAAAATCTATGCTAAAATTCTCTATTACTGTTGCAGAGAATCATTTGTACTTTGTGGCTAGGAAGTTCTAAACCACCACAAGACTGCTATGGAAGCATAACCTACTGGTTCAGTTTCAAACTCTTTTTGGCGCTCATCAACATTGATAATCGTCCAAACAACACGTATTTATGATATATTTTTTGTAACCTAACCCTTGATTTTTCGTCTCGGTTCTAGATACTTTTATTCTTTTGTTGCTTTTACAGAACAACACAACAACAAAAATATGTTTTTGTTGTCCATCATGCTCCAAAAATGATATTCCGCTCCTTTCTTGGAAAATTCCAAATTTTAATTTGATGGTCTGTTTTTTTCAGGTGCAAAGCGCCAGTGCGACGGACGTAGACTCGGCCGTCAAAGCTGCGCACTCAGCTTTCTACGAAGGCGAATGGGGGAAAATGAACGCCCGAGACAGAGGGACTCTGCTCTTCAAGTAAGAAATTCGTCAACATTTTCGCAAATGCCAAGCTTGTCATGGATTTGTGTTTCTTTCAAATTTCTTCTTCCTTGATCTTCATAAGGCTTCCATTTTATCCATCTCTGCAGACGTTTTGATGTGCTATTAAAAATAATATTTTTATCTCTACAGACTGGCAGATATCATGGACGAGCACAAGGAAGAATTGGCCACGCTGGAATCTCTAGATTCTGGGGCCGTGTACACCCTTGCCCTGAAAACGCACATCGGCATGAGCATCGACACGTGGCGTTACTTCGCGGGATGGTGCGATAAAATACAGGGAGCGACCATCCCCATCAATAACGCTCGTCCCAACCACAACCTCTCCATCACAAAGAAGGAACCCATCGGGTAATTGAAACCAGCAGTATAAACAATAGTTTATGTATACGCTCATCGAGGAAGTTGATATGAACTTATCGGAGTTGGAGATGGAAGGTCTTACGAGTCTATTAAGCTTCGTTCGTTCGTGAATTTTGTTCAAGGTCTTCAATGCAAAGGTTTAAAATCATGATTTACTCTCAGTGTTATGTCTGTTTAGAGTAAATTGAATCCTGATAGTTAAGATCATCTTTAAATGGACCAGATACTAGAGAAGTCATTTGAAAGTAAATTATTATATAGTAATAATAATTACATTCATTCAATTGTTAAATGAACCATTCAAATGACGTTTAGAAGTTAACCACATTAACATCAAAAATGTTTGTGGTTAATATCAAATATCACACTAATCAAAGTATCAAATTTTGCCTGACAATATCAAAATCAGAATATATCAAAAGCCTGACGCATTGAACTTTGTGCAGAGTGTGCGGCCTGGTGACTCCCTGGAACTACCCTCTGATGATGCTGTCCTGGAAGATGGCTGCGTGTCTCGCCGCCGGCAACACCGTCGTTATCAAGCCAGCTCAGGTCTCGCCCCTCACCGCACTCAAGTTTGCCGAGCTCTCCGTCAAAGCTGGCATTCCTCCAGGCGTTATAAACGTGCTTCCTGGAACAGGTGTGCTTGAATGTTCTGTGCTGTACATGAGCTTCTTAAATTAGAAAACGAGGAAAAGAAAATCACGCGTTACTTTAAATTGTTTTGATGTGTTCTAGCCAAGATATCGCTTTCATAAGACAAGAATTGGCCGATCGTGCATCAATCGTTTTATATGCCATATAGTGTGTTATTCCTACGCACAGGTGGTGTGTGCGGACAGGCGATCGCGGATCATCCGCTGGTACGGAAACTCGGCTTCACAGGCAGCACTGAAATAGGAAAAGTTATCATGAAGTCTTGTGCTGAAAGCAACCTGAAAAAGGCATCTTTGGAGCTTGGGGGTAAAAGCCCGTTCATCATTTTTGCCGACTGCGACCTCGACAAAGCCGTTAGAATGGTGAGCGGAATCGGAATTGAATAAGTTGTTTTTTTCATGATTAAACTTTGAATCACGGGATTGCTTGACGACTTTCTTATGGTCAGTATTCAATGCATTGAAGAAGTAATTTTTTTATTATCCTTTACAACTTTTTTTTTCAACACAGTTAGAAGTTTTGTTTTATCGTATTTATTTAACTATGAAATACATTGCACTGGCAACTAGAAGTGAAGCGAATTGAGCGTGATTTTTCGCAGGGCATGAGCAGTGTTTTCTTCAACAAAGGAGAGAACTGCATCGCGGCAGGTCGCTTGTTTGTCGAGGACAGCATCCATGATGAGTTTGTCTCCAGGGTCGTGGAGGAATGTAAGAAAATGGTGAGCCAAATTTGTAAGTTCTTGTTTAGATTATGCGGAATTCAAGCTATAGGTTAAATTGTCTATTCGTGTCTCCTTGATTGGCGAGCCTTGCCTTGCTGATAAACTACACGATAATAAGACTATGTTTAATAGTACAATTAGCTGTTAATTATTGACATTCTTGATTTGTTGTGTGACGGATTCGACTATCAATTGAATTATGTTTTTTCTATCTTTTACTTCCAATTAGCGATTTCGAAATGAGCTACGTTTTCCAGCATTATTTTTTTTTGCAGAAATTACCATTAATGTTATTTGCGATGTTTGAATATGTTCATCTAGTTCATTATTCCTTCGACTGCGCTACGGACAGATTCGACGGTTGTAAATTATGATACATGTCACGTGATATTATAAAATTTGTGAACCAGAGTTAAATTCGTCAGTGCTGATGGATAATTTTGATGCTATGACACGAAAGCACTATCATTCAAATCGATGCAACTGAAAGGCTATAGTTAGTCGCAGATATTAAGGGACTACAGTTTAACTCACCATGCTAATGTGTTGGTATGCATGTCTCTAATTTGTCTTCAAATTGTTTCTCCTGCGACCAGGTGATCGGTGATCCCCTTAACCGCGCCACCACGCATGGACCTCAGAATCATCTGGCGCACCTGAACAAACTCCTTGACTATATCAGCACCGGCGTGGACCAGGGAGCTAAACTCGTCTATGGAGGCAAGAGGCTTCCTGGCAAAGGCTACTTCCTTGAGCCTACCGTCTTTACGGAAGTTAAAGACCACATGTACATCGCCACCGAAGAGAGCTTCGGACCTATTATGATCGTGTCTCGGTTTCCCAATGGGTTAGTGAATGAAATTATCTCAGCCGACGGCAATTTTGTTTTAGATATTTTGAGCAACTTCACTTGAGAGGCAGGTTACCTAACTTGCCAATATCAGGAGGAGTAAAGTTCAGATCGTTACTGTACTCTTAAATCAGGAAGCCGAATTGTAAAATCAATGTAGTAAGTAGGTAAAATCAATGTAGTAAGTAGGTAAAATCAATGTAGTAAGTAGGTAAAATCAATGTAGTAAGTAGGTAAAATAAATGTAGTAAGTAGGTAAAATAAATGTAGTAAGTAGGTAAAATAAATGTAGTAAGTAGGTAAAATAAATGTTATAAGTAGGTAAAATTAATGTAGTAAGTAGGTAAAATCAATGTAGTAAGTAGAGTTTTGCATAACAGGCAAAAACTTGGCGGTAAGAAATACAAACTGAAAGAAATACTTGGCGGTTCCCTAAATACACTTTGTTTCTGTTTTATTTCAGACAATAGTTAATTGAATATCATTCTGGCTTTGCAGAGACCTGGACGGTGTGATCCGTCGGGCTAATGACACAGAGTTCGGTTTGGCGTCGTATGGGTAACTCTGCTAGAATTCACTAGGCTAGCAACGTTCCCAGAAAATGAGTTGCGGGGGTAACTGGAGGAAATATATAAACATGGTCGCTACAAATGAAATTATCTCAGCAGAGGGCAATTTTGTTTAAAATATTTGAGCAACTTCACTTAAGAGGCAGGTTACCTAACTTGCCAATATCAGAAGGAGAAAAGTACAGATCGTTACTGTACTGCTAGCACAGAAAGCCAAATTGTAAAATCAATGTAGCAAGTAGGTAAAATTAATGTAACAAGTAGGTAAAATCAATGTAGTAAGTAGAGTTTTGCATAACAGGCGAAAACTTGGCGGTAACTCCCTAAATACACGTTGCTCCCGTTTTATTTCAGACAACATTTAATTAAATATAATTTTGGCTTTGCAGTGACCTGGACGGTGTGATACGTCGCGCTAATGACACCGAGTTCGGTTTAGCTTCGGGCGTGATGACGAAGGACGTAACGAAGGCCTTGTACGTCTCTGAACGCCTCGACGCCGGCACCTGCTTCGTCAACACCTACAACAAAACCGACGTCGCTGCTCCGTTTGGAGGATTTAAGCAGAGTGGCTTTGGCAAGGACCTTGGACAGGAGGCACTTAATGAGTACCTCAAGACAAAGACCATCACTTTTGAGTACTGAGTTTCAGTGATTCTTCGCCAAGTCTTGACTCTCAACTTGTAGGTGCTTGGGAAAAGTTAGATGAGCATTCAATTGACGAGACAATTTACGTGGGAGTTCGGTGCTCAATCGCGTCTGCAACTGTATCTTTTCTTAGAATTGACTTTGATTTATAAGATCTTTCTTGCTTATTTTACTGCTGAAATTCCATAAAAGATAAATTGGTCATGAAGTAGCGGTTGAAGCGTTGTTAACAATTAGCATTGCATTCTTGAGCCGCGCGCATGTTTTTCTACTTCTAGTTGTGATTTTTTCGATTTTTTTTTTGCTCCATTTGTTGACGTTTTTTTTTATTGTTTTACTGTTTAAATCTTTCTCACGGTTTTAAACCCTTTTTGTTAACTATTTTTAACAGAATCTTTCTTGCATTGGTTTCTAGTCCAAAATTTCTGCTGTATTTATTTGTACCAGAGGTAGTAATACCATGAAACGAGAACGGCTGTAGCCAGATATTGCTTGATTTCCTTTTGGCTCCTTTCCATCGAGTGAGCTGATGCTGTGTAATTTAGTTCAATTATTATGTTGCTGCCTTTTTCGGTTAATTTTTTGTAAAATTATTTTAAGCAACCATTATCATGAGCATTCGCGACAATAGGCTGATGTTTTTTCTTGCTTAAAACGCTGGATACATTTTCAGCATATTTTTATAATAGCTCTAAGCTCTATTTGAATGTTTGTATTACTCTTGTTACTACATGGTAAATGTCCTGGAGCAATCTGTCAGGTTCCTCCTTATAAACGACAATTGTTGGGTTTTAATGAAGTATGTTTCAATTCATACAGTAATTTGATAAGGAAATTGTTCCATTGCAAAAGCTTTCAAAGGATTGACGTTTGTATGCAGCTTAGCCAGCCCTATTTTTCATGGACAAGTAACTGTGCTCGTGGTTTTTACATTAAGATTGCGTAATCTTTTACAAATTCCAAGCAAACAAATTTCAAGACATGGACATTACTAATCATGTTTGTTTCATTTAATAGATCCGATCGAAATGATTTTGATTGCGGGGCCCTTGGCATTCCCACCCACACATCGCTTGATTTTCAGATCACTTGTTCATCATTTGAAATTTATGACGAAGTTCTCAGTCGACAAGTGCATTTGACGGTACCATTTAATTTATTCGCGTAATAAATAACTGATAAGGCATGCCGTCCGTTTTTGATCATTTCTATCTCGAATTAAGTTCTTTCATTAACCAAGGTAAACCTAAAAAATTCAGCGAAATGCACTGTTGAAAGGAAATGATACGCGTGACAAATTTTCTAGTTTAATTTTTTCCGTGACTAGACGACCCAAAATACATGTTACTATCTTGGGGGTTAAAGTTGTTAGATTAATTAGGTAAATACAAAGTTCTTGGGTCGAACATAGGTCACCGGAAGCAACCAGGCACCGGTCATGGCAAGACAAGGACACGAACTTATCAATAAAAAACATATTAATCGCTCTCGCATAATCTTGACTAATCGATCTAATTAAGCCTCGTTGTACAGGTCTCATTATTGGGTTAGACAAAATAAATATCTGGCCACACACTAGATACAAATTTAATCGATGGCTAACTTAATTGGAATGCGGATGATCTTCGATGTCGTCAGGTTGATAGTTCTGTAATTTTATTTAGGTTCACCAGATCAACAGAGCAGTTAATATCAGCTGGAATGCCAAGATGGAATGAGTCAATAAATGAATGAATGCTTAAAACCAGGTTGGAGCAGCGCGGTTTCTGTACCTTGCGGAATAACCTATTTTTTGTGACGGAAAATATCCCCTTATTGGGGATGATGGCAACCGATCTTCAACATGATGGAAAATTTCATTCGCTAACCGGACAGTGAGCACCTGGTGCGAAATAATGTAGTTGCGGCAGTGACAACGAAATATATCCATTTTGAATTCTTCACAGAGATCATAGTTACAAATCATTAAAATAGACTTTTAGTTAAGCAGCATAAAATAAATCCATTCTTACAGAAAAGCATAGGCATAATCTATTTAAAAAATTACAGGATAATGGATGAAAATTATACAAATCAAGTTACAAGACGAGAAGATCGTGCCACGACTACTCTACCAGCTACGAGTGCGATGCGGACATTCTAAGCGGTGAATGCGCTTCAGCAATTTCAAGATGGTCACTTACATCATTATGTGCATCTAAATCAGTCAGAAGATATAAATGTAAATTTATATTACCTAAAATGACTTAGCACTATCGAACATTCTTATTTGTCGAATATTGTCAATCAATTGCATGGCAAATAAGCCAAATGGAAAAAAATTGTATTGGCGACCGGAAAAGTGTATTTGGGCGTTCTATGGACATGAGAGAGATGACCATTATTACCTTCAAATTTGTTTACAATGGATAATTAATAGTGCGATTGCGTCATTTATTTCATAAATTTTAGTCAGGAAATGGATAAATACGCGGATGACAATCAAGACAAGTGTCAACTGATGAATGAAGTAATATGTCGACATAGTTCATTCACATTCACACCACTGCTTTCTGCATCGATTCTTCGACAGTCTTCACCTAACCTAAAAAAATATAAACGCAGACATAAAAATAGAGCAGACATAATTCGGGTAAAAAGATAAGATACTTCTAGAAAAAAGCAAAATGGACGACAATGGTGAAAATCGCAGTTATTATATTCTATAAACCGATATATTTTCTTATAACAAACTATAAAAACAAAATTGCAAATGATCCCTTAAGACAAGTTTTAAACATTGTCTGTGTTTTGATTGCCCGCGATCAGAGTAAGCGCAATATGAAAGCTACTGCCAAATAACCGATACTGAATGGCAACAAAGAGTTCTGAATGCTTACCGGGTTTCCTAATTTACCGGCTTTCCTCCGCCAAAACTCTTCTCTAAATATTCATATTTAAAAACACTCGAAAAATGCTTCAAACATAGGCGGTAATAGCGTAGAAATTATGCAGTTTGTAATGTTTGAAAAAAATGATGGCTAAATATCTTTTGCATTCAAAATATATCGAAACTAAAGAAGATGAGAAATGGTATAAGAGACCATATAATGCAGTAGAATTAAAACGGAAATAGACTAAAAAAGAGAAAGAATGATGGGAAGGATTACAGCTAATAATCTATATTTGTGAAAGCAATAAAAATCAAAAAACCTTTAATGTACAAAATATACAAATAATCCAACTATAAAAACGATAGCTACCACATTTACGTTATTATATTCATTGCAGCGCAACAAAGGATGGGAGACTTCAGTCTGTAAAATAGTTGTCCAACTCGTTATCTGCTTGCAGGTTTTCAACGGTGCTGTAATTGTAATGTATTCAACCAATTCTCACGCGTGATTTTAAATTCATATTAAACATCTGAATTGGAAGAATGTTTTGAAAATTTCTAGAACGATTATGCCATGCAATCGAAATGCACCGGACGACAGACAATATCCAAGAGCATATTAGCGTAGACAAAAGCGCTACATTCCCGATCAATCCTTACATGCTAACTCCACATTAAAAGTCGTACAAAACTGTACAACACAGTCAGGAATTAAATTAGAAGTTGCCCAGCGCATAATGTACAGAAATAGGTATAGAAGCATAACACGGATTGTTTAAACTAGACAATATTTTTGTGCGGACAGAGCAGCATCAAGCCAATAATGGGCATTCTGTAACAGCAGAGCGATGAAACCGAGAAAAATCTTGGAATAAATCTTGTGATTGAGAAGAAATGTTATTCCTGAATTACAGTTACATTTTGAATTTAAAAAAACTAAGCATCACTATGACGATATAGTGAAGAGTAAGCAAAAAATCTAAGTAGGTATTTAAGTTAGCTGTATATATCAACCATTTGCAGATGATCATGTTTTGAAAACGATCACTCTACGTAATAAACGCCATTGTAATCAACAAAATAGATACAGTAGATTAGGCCACTGAGTGGGAGCTCTATTCAGTCTATAAATTACAACCAAACAAGCTACAAAATAAATGTCAGTAATGAAGAATCGTTAAATTTGTGACCGAGGATTGTTAGGTTGAGCAATGATTTGTGCAAGCGATTTTGGGTCGCGAGGAATTCGCCAGGTTCAGTACACGATGGCACTTCCAGAGAAAAAAATTAATTAGTTCCATAGGAAATTAATTTGAGTTATAGTAAATAAATTTTAGGTACATCGTAAATGCTCCCCAATTCTGATTTTATCCACAATTTATTTCTCATGTGCCCGCCGACCTGCAGGATAAAACAGACCTTGAAGACTCATCGTGAAGGTGCACTCGCAATCAGTAATTAAACTAATTATAATCAACATTTCCCTCAAAACTTTTTGAGCTGAAGGCCGGTATAATTTATCGAGTTAATACTCATGATTTATCTTATGGACGCAGTTGCACAGGTGATGAGCTCAATAAGCTCATTGAGCTGCGCAGCAAAATATACCACTAATGAAACCTGTGGCAAAAATTGTAATACTTGGAAAAGTGTGGCACGCTTCTATTCACTCAAAAACAATAGCGTTACTGGTCATCTTAAAATTATGACGGATAGTTGAAATCTTAACGGATAATACCATTTGTGACAAATTTTTTACCACTGAAATAGAAGCAAAATATAAATTTATTCCTTCGTCGCAAGTCGTCAAAAGCATGTAAAAACAACAAAGAGTAACCATCATACGGCAATAGCCCTCCAAGTACCAAAGCATGTTGTGTTTCTCAAGAAAATCTGATAACCAATGGAAAATTTATAATCATTCATGCAAGATGAACTGTGCTACCTCAATATGAAGAAAAACTGATGCCACTGTTGATTGAGGTTCATTTACACGTGAGCGGCGTAGTTATTCATGGTTCTTTTCAAGCGTTCAAGTTCAATTTCGAGACAGGCTCGTTTCTTGCGCTCTTCGTCGAGTTCCTCGGTGAGAAGCTTCACTTGGCGGCAATGCTCGCGGTTCTGTTCTTCTAGCCGGCTCTCCAGCTCGCTAATCTGCAGCGGTTAAAGCTTTTTAATGCATGGAAGCAATAATGAATGATTTTTAAACTTACTGTTACTATCGAAAGAATAAAATTACGTACCTTAAATAGAACTAAAATGAGAGGTTCCCTAACTAAATTAAAACTTTGAATGAGCATGAGATAAAATGTAAAAAGAAGTTTACAGAATGATTCAAGAAAAATTATTAAACAGCTAAATGTAAAAATAAGCCATGGCTAGGAAATGGATTTTCATTTCTTTCTCGACTAACACGCATGCTTAGTCTCTTCATCTGGACAATTACCTTCACTCATCAAGAACATACTCTATACGAAATAAAAATTGATGAATTCGTGCCAGGTTTGACAAATAAAATCGGAGCAGTGAAAAATTTCAAGATTATTTCAACATAGTGAGCAATAAAAGGTATGATTGTCTCATGTAGGTAAAAAAATTCCAGAGACTTAACGTCTACAATTACTATTCCTTCCTTCAGGGCTTCATTCTAACATATCCCTCTACAAGACCAAAGCGCTGACTTCTTGGAAGATTCCTGTATTTTCCAGAGATGAGAGAGATCTTTCATTTTCCGTCACAGAAAATAGCGCCACTGCACATGAAAATTAAAGACTCACCTTGGGCAAGACTACGACAAGAACAGCATTAACTGCTTCTTCTACTTTAATTGTGCCGGCGTTGGTTGAATCAGTGCTGTCAGTGCTTGGAAGGTGAGCTACAATGGGTGCAGAGGCAGGGATGACTGCGGGTGCCGAGACTGTTGAAGTGTTCCGGGTGACAGAATGAGATGATGGTGGGGTGGTGGATGAGAGCGCTGATGAAGGTAGGATGAGAGTAGGATCGTTTTGGATCAAAGGGGCTTTGACACTGGGATCTAATGAGGTGATGGTCTCCGAATTTGGGACAGCTGGATTAGCTTCTGCATGATCAAGAGGTGTCACTTGAGAGTTTACCGATGAATTGGCCTCAACAGGAGCCGAATGAGATGTTTCACCAAGAGGAAGCGGGCCTTGCGAGGGAGTGGAAGAAATTGAAGTACTTGAAGTGCCGGAAGAAATAGTAGCTTTCGCTAGTTTTGGTTTGGTCAAGTTTGAGTTTGATTGGATTGAAGAATTTGAGCTCACGGATATGGGACTTCTAGAAGACAACTGAGAAGTTTGTGACTGTTGCTGCAAATGTCGGGCAATAGCGGCCGTCGAGCCAGGCACCAATGCGGCATCTTTAACATATGACGATGGTTCTGAAACTTGACTTTGGTCTGCCGACTGGGATTGCTCTGGTTTACCAAAGGATGAGGATACTTTTCGAGCCGGCGCGGCCGTTGAGATCAGGTCGGGCTGTTGAGGCTGCTTCTGCAGGTCATCACTGAATGACTTGTAAGGTTGAGACTGGGCCAAAGGTGGTTTGGTGATAATTGTGTCCTCCGAAGGTTTGGCAGACTGGGCGTCGGAACCTACTGAGGCGGTCGCTGTTTGGGGGAGCCGTTTTGTGGCCAAAGGAGCCGGTTTGCTTTGATTCAGTGTTGGCGAAGACGGAGGCACATCTCGCTCTGGAATATGTCAGTACTTGTTAATTATTTAAAGGGACTTAAATAAAAGAAGAAATATAACAAACACTAGTTCGCTGCAAACCAAAAATCAATAAGATAGTGAGAATATAAAAAATCGTATAACTTACACAGGAAACTATTAACTTTGCCACTCGAAGACAAAAATAACCAATTCTACTAACCCAAATCTTGCATGAGGGATTTCCTTTTTTGTTTGGCATTGAGTTCCTCCAGCCAGGGCACAGTAGGTTGGTTGGAGCCCACACCTCCTAGCATGGAGGGAGATTTGGCGGGCACTGACGGGGTTCTGGCGTTTGGTGTAGCTGAACCGTTCCCCAGAGAGGGGCTCGTGAAGGGCTTCCTGGCGACTCCCTTCTGAGCAACACCAGCCTCGTTTGGTTCTTCAGTTATTGATGAAATTAGCGCGTCCGTAGAAGTCTCTTCTTTGGCAGGGAAGCCGAAGCCCACAGCGCTCGAGGAATTCTAGAACAATTTATCTTTTATTTAAGACAGTCCTCACATACCATTTTCATATCTTGGAATGGATAGATAAATTCATCATCTGATAATTCCATGAATTTTAGGGTGATCTAGGTACCAAGTACATTATGACAAGGTCAAAATTGTGTATTCGCGTCGATCAAAAGGAGGTTTTTCATTTTAACATCGGATTTTATTTTGGCAATAAAACTAACATGATATTTGATCCAAATGCATTTTTTGAGGCAATAACCTTTCCACGGAATCAAGATTCAACCCCGAATAAGGAAATTTCATCGCGCTCAAATAAGATATCATTTAAAACTAAGACTCACAGTGTAGAATTTCCAAGACATGGTGAGAGAAATTGTATTTTCGGGAATGGTTTCTGACCCAAAATTTGAAAGAGTCACTAGAACTCTACGCGAGGTTACCAATGGTGTCTTTCAAACAAAGTTTATGCCTAATAACTTTGAGGGAAACTAAAATAATACTTTGACAGTTCACGGGATTGATACGTACACGATTGCTCAAAAGCTACTATGTACAAGTCGTAACAGCAATAGAGAAGGAGGCATTCGATGGTAAATTAGAAGGAATTGTAATCAACGAGCGAGATAAAAGTCAGATAATTTAAAAAAAAATACAAGGCAAAAGTATTCATTAGCACTTAATAAAGTGAACGAAACAAATTAAGATGAAACATTTCAATGAAATGAACACACCGGCCTTCATTAAATGATTCAATAAAAGTTAAAGCCGACATTCGAGGCTTAGGGTCGGTAAAGAACGACTGCGTGGCACGGTCAAATGCACTGAACAATCCCTACTATCAGAAGACAGCGCGATCAATAGTGGAAATTACTCAAGTAAAATATATGGAAAACCATACAAAATAACAGCTCTGTCAATTTCTCATTAATAATTGGAAAACAGGTAGGCATATACACATCAAATCAACAAATCGCAGCCCTCACAAAACATAACGATACTTCACAAGATTGCCTTGCAGTCTCTACTAAGCTACGAGAGCAGTTGCATTTTGATAGATGGATGCCGTGAGCTCCATCTACGATAAGTCAAACTCTTTAGATAAACTGATAATGAGCTACTATGACAGACAGCTCACTAATGAAGGGACTGCTGTGCAGCGCTCCTAAAAAATAACAACCGATCAGTATTAACCTCGAATTAAGGAAATTATGGAACTTCATGTTAAGGAAATCCAAAGAAATTGATTTTTTTAACAATTAATTTCAAAAAGTTCTGAAAAGAGACTATTTATTGTTAGAAAGAAGCAGTAACATGAAAAATAACGATTAAATCGCACTCGATAAACAATCGCTGAATAAAATCAGTCACGTGGAATCTTAAAGACACTCATTCGGATGGCAGAAAATATTAACATTGTTAACTACATGGACTAGAAATTGCTTAGGACTTTGCACTTACTGTTGGACTGAGCAATGAGGATAAGCCGCTATTAGAGTCACTCTCGCTTGAATTCCGCATCTGGAAACAGAAGAAGAGTTGAAAGAGCTAGCCAGAACCAGTTAGTTTCCCCAAGAATAGACAGACCAATTTAAATATCAGTTTTTGACAGCATTAAAGAGCGTGGTTTTCCAAATTATAGGTTTAGAGTAGCTATAAAAGACGAAGATGTAAAATCAACAGGAAGAGAAGATTGGATAGTTACGGACGTTTCCAAATGTCACGGTAGGAGAACTGAGAATTTTCGGGCCACAGTCAAGTTGACATGAATCTCACTTATATTTTTCATCAAATTGACACACAATAAGATTGAGATGTGCATACATTCCTGAGAAATTATCTAGACAAAGATAATATTTTCTTATCAGCGTTTTATCAACAGGCCTTGCGACAAACTGATACATAAGCAAAGACGTGTCGGTCATGTCAACGGGACGATATGAACTCATAAAAAGCAATCTTGCAACGATGTGGTGACAAACGAGCTTTATTTTATTTCAAAAAAGTCTCCATGATGAAGGATTTCCGCTCTTTTGACTACATGTTTTACTGCCAAAGTTATGTTGCACTGTCTGATAAGTATTGACGTAAGATGAAACTAGAGTTTTCTCAAGATTTATTTTTATAATAGGACTTTCCAATACGTTGTTTTATACGTTTATTATTACCTCGTTGGCAAATAAGAAGTTCCTGAAGAGCAATTTAGTTATTAGAATATATTTACAATTAAATTTAAATAGTCATTGAAAGTATGAGCTAAAAATGAGCTGACAGGCCTTCAAGGCCTTTCTAAAGGCCCCCAAAGGCTCCACTGAAGGGCTGAAAGGCCCCCAAAGGGCTGAAGGCCCCCCAAAGGGCTGAAGGCCCCCAAAGGGCTGAAGGCCCCCCAAAGGGCTGAAGGCCCCCAAAGGGCTGAAGGCCCCCAAAGGGCTGAAGGCCCCCAAAGGGCTGAAGGCCCCCCAAAGGACTGAAGGCCCCTAAAGGCCCCAAGCCGTAACATCGCACAAAACTTACGTTCTCCTTGAAGACAGCAGAAGGCGGGCGGCGGCTCGGTCCTTTGGGTCGTTGCTGGTTGAGGTGGAGCAGCTTCTCGTTGCTCCCATTCATTGCCGGGCAATCTGTGAGAATGCAATGTTAGTCAATTGTTTACATTGTTAGCCACTTCATCCCAACCACGCACCGGAGACAATAATAATAACCATTCAATGTTAATAAATTAGTACAACGCTCTCAACTACAGCATGAATCGTAAAACATGACAGCTCAAAGAAGCCAAAAACGGAGATGAAAAGAAAATTACCTACTAAAAATGTTCCTGTTTATAATATGAAATTTAGTTGCTAACGGCATAAAAATTTACTAAACTTTTCCAAAAATAATTTTAGCTTAACCACACTCGCAAAAGGTCCATTAAAGAAATTGAAAACCAACTCTATAGTCTTAATTTTTATTTTGCCATCAGTGAAAATTTGCAGTACGGAAGGTATAGTGTTGATGGGTGTTGAACGATAGCAACATTGTCATTTATAGCATAAAGAAGAATTATATTACATCAGATTTCAGAAGTTATTATATCGGAGTCTTACATCACGACCTAACGATGACAAAGTAATCCGTATTTTTACACATAAAAGCATATTCGTCCCTCAAGACTACAGTAAATAAGACGCTGGTAGAGACCGAGACATTGCATCGCACCCCATTAGAGGTGCAAGCAGTAAGCCATGTAATTTTTCCTATGAGAACTTACGACCAATTCAACAACACAGTTGTACAAACACGTAAATTTTCAACTGCAGTATAATTACAGAGAAATAATCGCCGGGAATTTACCTGTAGGTGCTGCATTAGGTAATTCTGAGATCACTGAGAGACTTCTATCGCTGAGAGAATTGTAATTCTCGATGGAGGAGGGACGGGTTAGGTCCAATTCTGGAAGAGGTTTATGAACCTCAGGTTTTGGTGGTTTATTAGCTAAGACACGGTAAGGTTTCTCCGCTGATGGGATTTGAGACTTTTCCATTTCCGGAAAGGATTTATGAACGCGCTTATCAAGAAGCGTGTCGGAGCTGAGAGCGCGACGTTGACCCGTGAGCGGGACAGGCAGCTTTTCCGTGCTACGAGGTCGAGGTTTGTCAGCGCGCAATAAAGCGCTGTTGATGCTGTAACTGTGAGGTCGGTGTCCCTTAGTGGCTGGTGGTGGCTCAGTAACGTCTCCGGGAAACGAGCCTCGTTTCTCCAAATTTAGCTTACAAGGACTAGTGATATTATTCTCAGAAGTATCCTCAGAACTGACTTGATTTGAAAGTGATGTCGCATTCACTTCAGAACCTTCATATATTTTTGTGTCTAAATCAACCTTTTGAGGATTGGCAGGCGACGCATGAGTCGATGAAGCGGCAGGCGATGGAACCGCAGGAGCCTTTGGTTTACTGCTAGCGGGTGGAGCTGGGGGAGCAGACGATGGAACATTGTCGGTGGAAATGGGTTGTTCTTCCTCGTTCTTCGTCTCGTTAAAAACATTTGTGATGGCTGCTCGTTGCGACTTGGACCGAATAATTCGCTTCTGTAACGGTTTCTTGGGTTGGTCTATTGATGTGTCATTGACCAAGGATGGTGGAGGACCGGTGTCTTCAGAATCAGATGTTGAAACTCCATCTGTCTTATCGACAATGGCACCTGCACCTTGTTCCAATGAAGCTTTGGGAGGTGGGAGGAAATCTGCTATCGACGCATCGGGAGAAGAAATGAAAGTTCCTTGCACGGAGCTCTTCTGATCTTGATTAACTCTGAATGGTTGAGTACGTCTAACAATCTTTTTAAAAGCATTCATTGCGATTGAAACACAATCACGTTTGCAGAATAAGCTGCGAGAACTCTTACAATTTTCTGTCTCAGATGAACCGTAATAAATCTATGAAACATGTGCCAAAATTACCTTTGATGAAGTTTTGAATCATTCTGCAACGAATACCGAACCAACAATTGTATAAAGTTACATCAACTCCGAGAAACTGCTCAATGGACAAACTGTGAAGAAACTCGCAATTCAAGTAAGTTTAAGATCTCTCACTTTGACATTACAGCTTTCATTGTGTTGCAAACTAAAACTCGCGCTCTTATTAATTCACGACGCGAATTACTGTGCACAGGATTGCCTTTAGAGCTTAGTGTATTTCAGGACAGACCCGCACAACGTAAAGACAAAAATGACTCTGACATCCTGCAGTCAGTCGGTCAGAGAACAGGGGAGTCGCTTGCTTTTATCAGAGTGCAGCCTCAAGATAGCGATCAGTGCAGTCCACTATCTAGTCAACTGATAAGTCGAACATGAACACACGAATTTCAACAACTCAGATGTACGATAACAAAGGTAATGACATTGTTGAACTGCCATTGTGCATCAGAAACAACTGAAATAAAAGATCAACAGAACGCTGTTGAAAACAGTCGTTCATGAAGAACATCGCTTTTTTAAATGTAACAGAAATTCAATCATCGAATAGCTGTGTGCAACATCGGCTCTCTAAACTTTCTTAATATTAGAAACAAACAAACATCGTTCAATTTTAACAGGTATATGAAAATTTCGCGTACAGGTAATTAAAAACACATAATATATGAAGAAAAAAATAGTACAGATTATATGTGAATAAACAAAAGAAGATCATGAACCGGAAATTAACTTGTAACAAAATTCAAAATATTTTGGTATAAAAAAACTATTAAAAATTTATAACTCACAGCTTTGTGCTGCTAACTAAGCTTATTAGTGAACCATTTTAACCTGGAAACCAATTTGTTAAAAAAGATAATGCATACCAAGAAAATCGAAATAACACATAAAAAGTAAATAAAAATAACGCATACCAAGAAAATTGAAATAACGCATACCAAGAAAAAAAGATAACGCATACCAAGAAAAAAAGATAACGCATACCAAGAAAAATAACGCATACCAAGTCGTTTGGGGATAGGTAATGGCCCCATAGTTTGACTAAAATGGTTAGAAACAAATGGCAAATGGCAGGAATAGTTACTGTGCCAAAAATTATACATAGACTTCAATGGTCACTTCAAAACTACTAATACCTTATAAATTCGAAAGATGAATTCCTTCATAGGTTCTGAAAACGTATTGCTTGCACCTGGACGCAACACAGCAGACGAGGGCGGCTAGGAACACTAGGTTCTGATGCCACAAGTGCAAGCGAGGCGCTGATATCTTATCTTATTGATCAGAGTGAGGCGGTTCCATAGCCACTCCCGCTACCAGATTTCGTGGCTAGGCTACTAGAGAACTAGCGAACATTTACAAGCGTATTGTGTCTGCAGTGTACAGAAACTCCTCTTATGTTAACTAAGGTATATTATTTTACAAGGAGGTAACAGAAGAATATTGCGGACGAATACATTGTAGTTTATAACTGTAAATTCCTATTTCAAAAGAACACTATAAACTATGAACACTATTCCTGGCTATGAGGCTCGCTTGAGAGACGGTTTCATCAACGGTTGCAGCATGTCATGGGATATTACGAGAAAAAAAAACAATTCATTCGATGAAATGACTTAATGTCGTAGAAAGAAATTACTGGAATAAGTAATTCCAATGATCCTAATTTCAAAATAAATTTAGGTAACAAGTATTGAGAAACTCGTATATCTTATATACAGGACGATCTTGAAAATATTTTAGCGCATTTTCTCATTTATGAAAAAGGCGCTATTGTGCTCATGTCTGTCTGTCCGTGACTTCACGTTTTCGTCACGAGAAAATGCTCTCTTCGTCACTCACTGCAGTGAGTACTGAGTTATATTTTTTTTTACTATTTTCATAGGTAGTTGATTAAGTTCCTAAATCCACGTATGAAATACTAACCGTTTGAAGGAGTGGGAGAGGAGCTGGCGGAAGCGGTGGGAGAGTTCTGAGTGCCCAGAGTGGGAGGCTTGTCAGGTCTCGGCGGTTTAGGCTGAAAAAGGAAGATTCGTCAGATGTAATTCAGTCGATTTCATTGAAGCAGGAAAAAGTAACTGTTAAAGAATTTCTACATGTAAACGGAGTGGAACAGCGCCTATACATACAGTATATGATCAGCATGTCAGCTGCTTAAAGATGTCAAGTAATTCAACTCAAGTGAGATTGATCGACATAACCACTCAATTTCAAGAAAATAGAAATAAAATTAAAGTGATTTGAGACGGCTCATTTCCTCACAGTTTCGTCGGAGTTGATGATCTGAACAAAATTGTCGGGAAAAACCCCGACTTTTCCAGCGAGCTCTCCCTTCCACCAGCCACGGTCCTCGAGGTCCTTGGAGATGAGGGTGATAATGTCGCCGTCCTTGAGAGTTAGTTCGTCCTCGTGTTCCGCGTTGTAGGGGTACAGGACGCGCGCCATCTCTCGAACTGCACGGTGTACGCACACGTTATAGACAAATGTTAAAGGCTACAGAGTTGAACGCTTAAAACCAAGTCATTACTCAAAGGCTACCGAGTTGAACGCTTAAAACCAAGTAAACAAAACCAAAGATGCCATCATCGAGACTCGATACTCGTCAGTATCGGAGGTAGACGCAAAATTTGGGAAAGACGACGGAAATTCGGAAGTCTACGGGACTTAACAAAAAATGCGCCCTGTTTAAGGCATCAGTCTCTGATTAACGATGATCTTCTGAATTATTCAGCTAGCGTAAGAACGTTCTGAGACTACTGCTCTTTTGCTCGTCATGTCCGTCCGACCGTCCGTCCGTCTGTCTGCCTATCTGTCCGTCCGTGGCTTCACGTTTTCGTCGACAAGAAAATGCGCTCTGTCACTCACTGCAGTGAGTGCCGAGTTATATTTTGCATATTTTACGGATTTTTACCATGATTCGGAAGTCTACTGTTACATCCGGCGAAGCTCCTTCGGGAACTGATAAGCGTCGACTTCAGGAGTACCTTGATAAGGTTGTGGAAATTTCAAATGATTTGAAGATTTGATTTAATTGTTATAACTTTATTATAAATCGGCAATTGCTTGAATTCAGCCAGGTTGCGACCGTAGCGTTTTAGGCTTTACTCGGACTATTCGCGTATATAAGACTCGTATGATTTAACATATAATATAAGTTCTCTAGTAGATTTGCAAAAGGAAACCGAATTCAGGTTACAGGATTCGTACAGGATGGGAGAACAAGCTGCTGAGGAGCGAGTGGTTAAGGTGATCAAAGAGAACCCCCCAAGTATTTTTTTCAAATACGCTCAGTCCAAGGCTAAAATAAAGACGCCAGTGGGCCCGCTGAAGGATAACGAAGTCTTGTCGGAGATGACCAGGGCATGTGTGATTTACTGGCATCGCAGTTCGAATCAGTGTTCAGTATCCCCCGCTACTCTAACAGGAGAATGAAATTGAAGTCCTTCGGGAGCTTCCAGGCGAAAGGGGCTGGAGAACATTGGGATCACAAGACATCGATAGAAGCATCAAAGAACTGGCGACGTTTTCAGCACAAGGACGCAGTATTGCTAAAGAAGTTTATCGGGAGCATTGAAAGAGCCGCTCACAATGCTCTGGAAAAATTCGTTGATGGAGGGAATTGTTCCTGAGGGCCTCAAAGTGGGACTGATAACGCCAATCCACAAAGGAGGTCCGAGGAACAGACCCTAAAATTACAGACCTTTCACCTTGACCTCACATGTGATCAAGGTTTTTGAGAAGGTAGTGGTCAGGAGGCTTGTCCGGTGTATGGAAGAGACTGACCTGTATAATAACGGACAGCATGGTTTCCGGCGTAATCGTTCCTGTTTGTCGCAGTTACTGGAGCACCATTACCGTCTAGTGGCCCAGCTGGAAGAGGGAGCTGGCGTGGACGTGGTACACCTAGACTTTGCTAAAGCTTTTGACAAAGTTGATCATGGGGTGCTCTTTAGAAAGCTGAGGCTGTTGGGGGTAGGAGGAAGCCTGTTAAGGTGGATCCACAACTTCATTACTTCCTTAGAGTACAAGCTGTCGCAATTGGAAACTCGAAATCGAGAGAAGAGAAGGTGAAAAGTGGAGTTCCGCAGGGCTCAGTGCTGGGACCGATCCTCTTCCTCATCCACATTGCTGACATCTACTAAGAACTTACCCACGCATCTACAACGTTATTTGCGGACGATACAAGAGTGCAGATGAAGATCACAGAGAGGTTACATGATGACTTGTCAACAATCACGATTGGGCCCTAGTGAACAATATGCAGTTCAAAGGCACCAAGTTCGAAGTAATGAGATACAGAGTCCGCACAGAGATCGGGATGCCACATCGCTACTTGGCATCAGATGGCACAGAAATTGAGGAGAAGCAACTAGTTCGAGATGTCGGAGTGTTGATGAGTACTGAAGTCACGTTCGATGACCACATCGAGGAAATAGTGGTGCGCAGCCGGCAACGGATGGGGTGGATATGGCGGACATTTCGAACGAGAGAAGCAGCACCAGTGATTACATTCTTCAGAGCCCTCGTGCTCCCCAATCTAGAGTAATGCTGCCAGCTTTGGGTTATGGATCCCTGATCGTCCGGTTATGGGAAACAACCCTCAACCAGTGACAAGCAACAGTATTTTGCAGCAGCTGGTCCAAAGGAGGGCAGATGGACGGAACACGTCTAAAGTTACATCCGGGACCTGAGGGCGAGGTGACCTGCCTAGCGACGACTTGGAGACCGACGACGACGAGAGCAGCGTATCATCGTAACCATAGACAAGGATGTCCTAAACTTGTCATAAGGTCATAACGGCTACTGACCTGGCTTTGGGGGAGTAGCGGTGGGGGAACAGACTCGGTCACGGGCTACTGACCTGGCTTGGGGGGGAGTAGCGGCGGGGGAACAGACTCGGTCACGGGCTACTGACCTGGCTTGGGGGGGAGTAGCGGTGGGGGGACGGACTCGGTCACGGGCTTGCGGTTGAGAGACGAAGGTCTGCTGCTGCCAGATGGCGTTCGCTGTGCCTGACATCAATGAACTGTATCAGACTCAATGTAGGATAATGCATGCATTTTTTCAAGCCCGTTTTATGTCTTTCTAAAGTGAAATAAGACAAGGAATGGGCAATTAAATTAAAATGCAATCATAAAATGTATTCTTTCAAATAAAATTCTCTAACAAAACACTTGAATGCCATTGAATTTCGGTCATAAATCAGCTTGACAGGAACAGCACATAAGAATCATTTTGTTTTTTCATTCCAATTCAAGCGAACTGAATCCAAATATAATTTTCATAAAGTAAATTGCTGAGTTGAGAAATGATGCCGCATTTAATGCTTTTTAAGCTCATGAATGGTAAATTTGATGACAATAAAATTTACGTGCCGAAGTTAGTTTATTATTTATATGACTATGTTTCCACAAGCTTCCTTCACATTTATCAACTCTCACATTTATCAACTTCTTATTGTTAGGGTATAAGTAGAAATAATTAATAAAAAAATTTTCAAGCACGAATAGTATGGGAAGTTCAGACATTAAAAAAAAAAAACAGCGAGCCATATTTTAGTAAGGATACGAAATTTATGACTTTAGTATTCATTCAGCTATCTTTAACATTTATGATACTTATGATATTTGATGACGAGGACGAAGTATCCCAGCAATATCGACGCATATATCGCACATTGTTACAGCCAATACCTTGTGTTCAGAAGCAGGTTTAGACAGGCCGGCCTCCTTCTCAATAGCTGAGTTGATCTTGTCTTTTGTCTTGTCTGCTCGCCCCAACGACGGCGTCTTCTCGACGCGTCCTCCCGCCCCCGTCAGCGACGGGTACACGCCGGAGCTCGGGGTGCCCGGGGTCTTCCCTGCGGTGACAGAACATATTTAATGCACTTCAATATTAACAATTTCCTGCAATTAAATGCACATTTAATACACTTCAATATCAACAGTTTTTTGCAATTAAATACACATTTAATGCACTTCAATATTAACAATTTCCTGCAATTAAATGCACATTTAATGCACTTCAATATTAACAATTTTCTGCAATTAAATGCACATATAATGCACCTCAATATTAACAATTTTCTGCAATTAAATGCACATTTAATGCACCTCAATATTAACAATTTTCTGCAATTAAATGCTTCAATGCATTTCTATAATTCAGCTCCGTGGCGCAATTTTATGCAAATCAAACGTAAATTCAGTTACAATTTGCGATTAAGAGACGACTGGTCGCCAGACAAAATGGTCAATTGATTCTATTGTAAATCAAAAAGCTACTTTACTAAACGTTGTTCAAGTAACACAAAATAATTATTGGATACAATATATAACCAGTACAATGAAGTTTAATCATCAGTGAAAACACGCCGAAATTTCCGTTGCCAGACTTAAGAAACCAAAACGCAAACAATTAGTGATAAATAAACGATACTACAAAATGAGTGCAGATGATATTAAAAAAAGTTAACAATACCGATTTTTTTGTAAATACTACAGATGAAATTCATGGCTTGAAGGTATAAATAACGAGAATTTAAGTAAGGAATATCAACACGATTAAAATAATTATCGATTAAAATGATTTTAAGTATGATCAAACGGGTCAATTCTAGGTTGTAGGTGCACGCTAATAGGAAAACAACTCTACCTTTGCACAGCACATAACAAACACAAAGGTTCACCAGGAGGCAATGCAATATCATAAATTACTAATAATACAAATAACAGTACACTAAAGTGCTCGACAACAAACTATCAACGAGCCAGAGCAAAGAAGACGTGAGCATTGTCCTCAGATCCACAGTTCGTATGCACAATAACAAGGTTCGATTTCTAATGCAGTGTAGCTTTCAAGTTCCGTTGATTGCTGATCGAACTTTCTAAGTGACTGCATGCAACAATTTTTTAACGATATAGAGATGCTGAAATTCTACAACCAATAGAAGAGAGAGTGAAAACCCGAACAACTTCAAAGTATATTTATTAATTGTTTAAACCAGAATTACGGAAGTTCAAGCTCATCGCAGCGTTCACTTGTCTCGCAGAAAACTTAGTTTGGGACAGGGAAATCTCAACAATTGGCATTTAAAATAAGTTTGGAATTGAAGACCTAACTCGGCATCACATAAATTCAAGGACGTTAAAGAGGGAACTAGAAACGGCGCGAGAAATAAACGAGATCTAACGACCAAAACATCGACAATAAAGTGGATGTGAAAAGATCGGTTCACTATCGAGGGACTGAAGATGCGGATAGCGGGGTAATTTTATAAATATATTGCAATGGGAAACGACGGACACAGAAGGTATGCTAAAAGCACCCTAATTATAGGGGTGGCAAAGTAAAAATGAATTATACTCTCCCTTAAACATCTTAACACGAGTCGCGCGAAAAATAAAACGTCGATTAGAAACTAAAAGGTTCCAAATGCAACATTATAACTAAGAAACGAAAGAAATATAACTTCAAAGTAAGGAATATCAAGGCGAACAAGCGGCAATACGAAAGTAGAATTATATTTTGGATAAAATAAATCGGGCTAGAAGGAACTCAAAAAACAATACTATAACAAGGAATACATTGAACAAAATTCCGAGGCACTAAGGAAGAACGACGCTCACATACAAGACAACACTACATAAACTTGTCACTAGCAAGTGCAATCTGAACGCTGAGTGAGAAATCTCACCTTCCTTATGCCTACCGCCGGCCTGTGAGCTTGATTTGTTGGAGTGCTTCACGCCACCCACAACGTTAGTAACCACTCCACCACCACCACCTATCACCACACCAGGGTTGATCCCCACCACAGAGCCCCCACCACCACCACCACCACAACCCTTAAGACCCCCGTTGAGGATGGAAGAGTTGGATGTCTTGCGAGCGTTACCATTAACGGCTTGCAGTTTCTTAACAAGTTCCTTCTTGAGGTCGGCGTCGCGGCCGCTGTGGCCGCGGGACGGCACAGGCTTGGGCTTCACCTCACAATCTACAGATTACGTAGTTTATTAATGAAGTAAGGCCTTGCTTATTGGTCACTTAATCAACATTGGTAATGTCATTCAAATTCTCGATAAATTGTTTACAGTACTGGAATTAGCCCTATAACATTCATCAATGAACGCAATTCTTTTCTATTCCTTCACCTTGCAATCAACATATCATGTAGTTTGTTGTAGTGTTGCCCAGTTCTTCGGTCAGTTAATTAACATGGGTAAGTTCAAATTGTTGATCATTATTTTACAGTATTGGTATTATCCCTAAAACACCGTTTTCATTAGCAATGAATGCAATTATTTTGTATTAAGTAACAAGTAGAAATATTTTATGGACTAAACTGATCACTGTTTGACCAACATTCACCAGAAGAATACAGTACTTATACAGTTCTTCTCATTCGTATTGTTTGCTTAATTTCCTTTAAAATAATAAAGCTCATAAAGAAACGAATTATTCGAAACCAATTTCAGTCAGATGATAATGGTATACCGTACATTAGCAAAGGATGCAGCATCAACATAATTTACACTAGGAAAACTCGTCTCGCGTCAAACTTACGATGAAAATAATAAATCGAAGGCTCGGCATTTAATGAGCATGTACACCAAACAATTATATAATATGATCGCACAATAGCGCGCTGTTTTGGCAATGTTTGCTTCCAATCAAAACATGTCTGAAATGCATGCGTTTTCATTTCTGGTTTGACACAGTTGTAAAAAAGTGCGTAATGCAGCTCAGCATGATTGTTGATTTAAAAAATTAATTGTTCGCTTTTAATAAAAAACCATCAAAATACGCCATTAAATCTTGTATTAGTTTCATTTTGAGATACAATTGTGAATTCACACAATTCTCTCATGAGTTATTACAACAAACTTGCTTTAGAAAGCAAACAATTAGTTTCGTGTGCAGCTGTTAGCCACACAGGTTGTTAATGAGCGAATAGGTACTTCAAACGACGGGAACAAATTCAGCGAATAAGCGATAATGTTAGTACCATTTTTTAAAACAAATATGAATAATAATCAATAAGAAGAAATGCATACCGCCATCAGTTGCGAGGTTGGCGTTGATGTTGTTTTTGTTGCAGACTTCGACGCCATCCTTGGTAGGGCGATCATCAGAGATGATTTCCTCCACGAAGTTGGACGGAAACATCCCAACCTGCCGCCAAAAACTCACCAATAATTGCGTGCTACAAATCTTACATGATGAGCTTGAACTAAACTTATTAACAGAGTGCGTTACAACAGAATAATTTCACTGTAAATGCAGTTAACAACTAATGTCCACGGGTTTCAAATTGTTTTTGATTACTGATTACACTTAGATATTTGTCAAGTGTTTTTAAACTGTAACTTACTAGGACAGGCCTAGTCTTGATAAAATAGCGAAAAAGCTACCAAAAATCTGCTGCCATGCGTTCACATGCATTGCGCTCACTCTGGCTTTAGCAAGAACGCTACAACCTTTCCATTACACTCACCTGCTCCTTGACTCCCCTTTCCACCAGCCCTCGGAGCTCCCCCTTCCACCAGCCCTCACCTGCCCTCGCAGCTCCCCCTTCCACCAGCCCTCACCTGTCCTCGGAGCTCCCCCTTCCACCAGCCCTCCTCCACCTCCTGCAGCAGTACGAGCTCGTCTCCCTCGGTGAGCGCGAGTTCGTCTTCGTGTTGGGGCGCGTAGCTGAACACAGCCCGGCAGCGCCGTACGCCTGATCAACATTCCTAACATTAACATCAAAACAAAGCAATTCGTCCCATGAATTGTATTAAAAAGTTATTATATTAATTGATAATCCAAACATTAACATCAAAACAAAACAATTCGTCCCATGAATTGTATTAAAAAGTTATTGTATTAATTAATAATCCTAACATTACCATCAAAACAAAGCAATTCGTCCCATGAATTGTATTAAAAAGTTATTGTATTAATTAATAATCCTAAAATTAACATCAAAACAAAACAATTCGTCCCATGAATTGTACCATTAAAAAGTTACTGTATTACTTAATAATTACGAAGCGTTCAAGACAGAGTTTTATTTAATTTGTATCAATACCTAGTCAATTGTATTAATTAATAATTACGAAGCCTTTACGACAGAGCTTCATTTACTAATTTATTTTCGATTGTTTAGGCTATACTTGAAAAATTATTAGTAATACAGAGAGCAAGTGTACTCATATCTTAGAATCGATAGTCAATACATGAAAAAAATGCCTCAAACTAGCGAGTTTTGAGCGGTTAAGTGAACTAGACTGCATAAATTATTATTAGTTTGAGTACCTAGAGCTTTGATGTGCTTCCATAAACGAAGAAGGAAACTCGGAATTTCCAGCATTTTAGTTGATTCAGCAAGGTTCTAAAATCAATAATTGAGGGAAGTAAACATCCTGAAAAATTAAGTTGGACTTGAAAAGATCTAATAAAAATTTGTATTATTTAAATAATTGTTTTTATAAAATTATTAAAGGTGACGTTTGACATTTGCAATAATTAGCTGCGTATAATGTAGTGTTGTTACTAGACCTCGCTTGTTGGCGGCGGAGTTGGCCGGGTTGGTTGAGGTTTTATTCATGTTCGAGTTCTCTGCTGGGCCGTTGCGGCTCCCATCCTTCGATATGATCTGCGAAAGAAAGATAATTTTACGTTTCCAAGAAAATATTGTGAAAAGAAAACAATTTTAGGTTTCCATGAAAATATTGTGAAAAGAAAAGAATTTTACGTTTCCATGAATATATTGTGAAAAGACAAATAATTATACGTTTCCAAGGAAATATTGTGATTTATAAGTAGTTTTCATAGATGACCAATAACTTGGCCATGGGACTAAAAAGTAAAAACAGAAATGAATGAATCCTCGACACTCATCCGTTGAAAGCCATTACTCGTAATGGCAGAAGGAATTATCAGGGGCAGCGGGATGATCAGATGACGTATTTTCAACGCTAAAATCAGTAACTTTTCATGTGCCTAAGAGATAAACATTGAAAAACTAATTACATCGACAGCCGATATCACAACTCAAGTTTCTAGGTCAAAACAGAGCGTTTTGCTTTCATCGACCTCGTTGCTGCTCGGAACGCATCAAACCTCGAGCAACAGTTCCACGTTTCGAAAAATATTATTCGCAGAAAGTAGAAAATTACAAAAAGACTGAGAACCTTGAGGCAAAGGGAACTAAAATCGCTTCGAGATAACTCCAACACATGGCCTAGAAACGCGAGGACAGAAGCTGCAACATAGAAGCACAAATGGTAGGTATGTGGCAAGGCAGGCTCGGATGTCGATAATTCATTTAAGCTTCGTCACGCGCGGCGTCGTTCACACCGAGCAATGGAGGCAGCAGGTATCAAGTGTTTACATGCGTGCACGATATCGAACCCGATTGATTCTCCGTAAACTTCAAGATATTTTAAACTAATTATGTGAGGTGAAAGTGCTGGATTAAAAAATTACATGGATGTCATTATTTATTTTACGACACCTCCAATAAGCTTCAATGGCGAAGCCAGTTTTCTATTACACAAGGCGCATTGAATATGCTTTTGGCAAGTTGAAAATTACAATTACTTCAACATATCAGCATATATTCAGAGGGTTTCATTATCCGATTTTAGGTACCCACGAAGCGGACTAAGAGCTGCGGTTCTCAAATTCTAACCGAGCGTGAATTACATTAAACAAAGCACGTCTAGTTCAATCCCCGCCATTCTACGTCGGGTTAAGATTCGCGTACATGTGCTGAGCTACGACGTGAACTATCCAAATTAAATCCAAATGTGCATGTACGGCATAGCGCCGACGACGCTGTAAGAGAAAGTATTTGCTGAAGGCTACAGGACACCACAGGCAAAATAAAAGGCGTCTTTTTAGCCGGCAAGCGGAGAAAACCGACTCGCCTGACCCATAGCTCCTGCACAGATCCCTCCAAGCCACTGAATATGAGTCTGGCAGTGCACAAACTGCCTTTCTCACCATCATAACTTTGTGCTCGAGTCTCGTGAACACTAATTAATGTAGAGAGTTTCATGCCTGCACAAAGATTTGATTAATTTTGACCCGAGGTTGTAAATTACACGTAAACAACAACAACACGGTTGTTCTATTACAAACAGCGTTGGTTGCAGTCATGTATCATGTACGATGATGAACAACTAAACTGATGACCAAAGTGACTTAGAACGACTCAGCAAAGTGACTTCTTAACTATAGCGCACTCCCTGAGTTATTCTTTATTCTTACAGTAGCTCAAAAAACTTTTTAAAAGCAAGAAATTTTTTATGCTTTGTAATTCATAGGCTGTCATTGCAATTAAAAAGTATCAAGGGATATTCTCTACATTAAAATGGTATATCACAGCTGCAGAGTTTTGGCCTTAGGGAAAATTAGTGTTATATAGGATTACTAACACAAGATTTGCATTTTATCAACAAACTTGAACTAGTAACACAACTGTGGTTATAAATCGTTCCAAAGGCACTGCAAAAAGCAGTTAAATCCTGCAAAATTTTATTACGCGTCCAAATGCTGCTCCGTTGCTACTTACGCCGCAAACATTGTTAGCGCATTTTCTCATTTATGGAAAAAATGCACTATTGTGCTCGCCATGTTCGTCCGTCCGCCGCCCGTGACTTCACGTTTTCGTCGACGAGAAAATGTGCTCTCTGTCACTCACTGCAGTGAATACCGAGTTATATTTTTTCGTGATACATTCAGAGTGAACACCTCTCTTCGTGATTTTTAAAAAATAAAAAAAAAAATTCAGTGAAAAAAAAAGATTACCGTGATAAAATCCATCTGATTACATAGAACACGATCGCCCGCAGAGACTATATTTGTACAAGTACCAAGCGTTACTGTGGTGCTCAAGGCAATCGTGTCCTGCTAACGGTAAATTTTCGACAAAAACGGCGCGCTAGTCCCACTGACCGACTTCATCCTGGACGGCCCCAGAGTCATCCAAGTTTCTCAAACGAGTTCTGAACTTCTTCCTCGCCGAGGGTGGCTCTCTGTCAAGCCAAGATATAAGGGACGGGGAAATGCTTCCCCTCGGCATTACCATAATACAAGTAATTAACAAATGAGGGCGAAGAAAAAATATAGCAAATCATGTACAGACTGGATTCCTTCCCATGTAATTCTTGATAATTGAAAAAGCGGGATAGTTGATGTAGTTCAGTTGGTCAGATCAAGTATCAGAAATGATCAGATGTTCTTTTGGAACGGATATCAAAGGAAATGTCAATTATTTTACACTTGCAAACCCTTTCCTTAAAAAACGAGGCTAATCGAGAGGAGAAAATGCACATTTTCGCCTATCAGATGTCGGTGTCATGTCAAAAGAAGTGAATCGAAATGTATGAGTACACAAGCAATCCGGTCTTCTTATTTTTACGTATGAAGTATGATTGAACTTGAGCGATTGAACGGCTGGTGAAATAACTAACGCAAAATCAAGCAAACTGCAAATACACTTATAAATGAGGAAACAGCAGGAAAGTGGACCATGTTACACCCATAGTTAGAATAAACGTGATAACAATGAGCAAATAATTAGCATAGAAGCGCGTTTGTAATAATTGAATGACGAAGCAACACGAACCCTGCGGTCAATCATGACTGAGGAGAAAGCAGGTCAATGCACCGCTCGACCATCTACTTCCTGTACACAACCAATGCTGGCCAATTATTTCTCAGCTGAAACATTACTAACAAAATATAAATGACACAGTCTCCGGTTAAAAATAAAATCCATTGAAGAAGTAATTAGGAACTCTCGAACTTCGTAATCGAATAAGCTTTGGAGGAAAACAATGTCTTCTGCGTATGCTGGAAAGCGAAATACCCTTAAATTACACGAAATTCTTTGGATTTTCATGCGGTTAGATGAACTTAGCAAGCGTCGCGAGTCCTCTTTGAGCAGATGTGCAATATTCCGAATCGAATGTGTAACATAATAATAATGTAATATTCCTAATCGAATGTGTAACAACTATAGAACTGTAAATTAGCGATTTTTTAGTTGGCGACAACAGTATATGGATGAGGGCGTGAAGGATTAACTGTGCAATTAAAAAGTACGCGTCCTGTTGACATTTAGGTATTTAGAGCAAGAAAAATGCCAACTATCATCGTCTTTCAAATTGAGTCGTGCACAATGCGAGCAGTTCGTGCAGTAGCCGCTCCCAGATCATAAGTTCAAGACCAGCGAAACTAACACCGCCGAGTTCACAACCACAAGCGTGCGTCATGAATAAAAACCTATGCTTCAAGTTATGACATCGGCTATAACAGGTAATTGGTTGTCATAATCGTGAAGCAGTCCAAAAGTTGTCAAAATGGTATAAAAAACGATATTGCATGGATTTCTTTGTTGTCAGGAAGGAACGAAAGATCTTAGAGTTCTTATCAATTATGGTAATGCATATGAGAGGCTTGTTTTTAAACATTTTTTCGGTTCATTCATTAAAATATCCATGAATAACTCACGTGAGTATTTAGTTTACCAATGTGCATGTTAAACGAAAACATATTTCTTCCTCCATACTGTCTTCCCCCGATTGAACAAATGTGGCCCATCAAGCCGTGTCCACGGTAATGTGTTGAAGTTAGTCGTTCCTCGAGACACAAAATCAACCATTTACCACTCTATTAATCGGACTTATAATGACGCTTGCTTGTTTTTTCAAATGTTATCAGCGAATACATTATCATTTCTTCAGGCGATAAATGCGCGTCTTTTTAATAGAAATGTAATTGATTTGAACAAACCAGTCCTTGTATTAAGCTAAGAACTGTGCGACAGACTGATCAACAATTTAGGTTCAAAGAATTTAAGACAAAAATATATAAATATTTTACGCTAACTGAATAATAAACTCTTTCTTGTACAATAAGTTAGACTTTACCGAGACCTAACAAGACGTCGTGAGAAAAAAGAAACTCGGTTTCCTGAATTTCCTGTATAATAATTTAAGCACTCGCATGAAGAAGATATCCCGGTACAGCGATGTCGATTTATTAGAGATGATTACGCAGAACGCTTCTCACGATCATCAGTATATAGCTAATATATGACGCTTCTCTCAGATCGAAGATCGTCCAGCACAAAGAGCAGAAGAACGTCCCGTACGAAGGCAGATCGAAAATAGTCCCGTACGAAGGGCAGAAGAACGTCCCGTACGAAGGGCAGAAGAACGTCCCGTACGAAGGGCAGAAGAACGTCCCGTACGAAGGGCAGATCAAAGATCGTCCAGCACAAAGAGCAGAAGAACGTCCCGTACGAAGGCAGATCGAAAACAGTCCCGTACGAAGGGAAGAAGAACGTCCCGTACGAAGGGCAGAACGAAGATCGTCCAGCACAATTAAAGAGCAGAAGAACGTTCCGTACGAAGGGCAGATCAAAGTTCGTCCAGCACAAAGAGCAGAAAAACGTCCCGTACGAAGGGCAGATCGAAGATCGTCCAGCACAAAGAGCAGAAGAACGTCCCGTACGAAGGGCAGATCAAAGTTCGTGTAGCACAAAGAGCAGAAGAACGTCCCGTACGAAGGGCAGAAGAACGTCTCGTACAAAGGGCAGAAGACCGTCTCGTATACGGAGGGCAGGCAGAGTGGTTATGCAGG